GCTGTGTTCATCCAGACCTGCACCTTGTTGTCTCGGATTCTCCAGCATCTGCAGTTCCTACTATCTCTGCTTCTCACTGGATATAGTTGACAGTGTAAAATGTGTTAATAAGGAGAAACATTCAGAAATGCATGTTGTGATAAGTATTAGGTGATCTATTATTAAGACTATTCCATAAACTAAGTGAGATTAGAGCCAGGAATAGCTGAGGATTGTAGTCTTTTTAGTGTTTAGTATGTAATTAATACGTGCCCAAACCTGAAGACACTTGTTGAACTTGTCACTTCCTTGACCATTATAATTGACTTTTAATTACCCTCCGAACCATTCTGCTCAAGAGCATTGCTATGACACCCACGTCCCATGAAATGTCGGGCTTGAATCTTTCCTTTGTGTCTGAGTGACTATCAGTCCTGGACACAGACGTAGAGAATCCAGAGAACGCTTCAGTTTTGATATAGTAAGAATTGCTGATGCTGGAGCCAGAGATAACACAGCATGGAGCTGGAGGAACGCAGCAGGCCAGGCAGCATCAGAGGAGCAGGAAAGCTGACATTTTGGGTCAGAAATGAAAAAGGCTCCTGACCTGAAACGTCAGCTTTCCTGCTCCTCTGCTGCCTGGTCTGCTGTGTTCATCCAGCTCTACACCTTGTTATCTCATCAGTGTTAATGTCTGTATTTATCTGGTTCTGTAATTATTTCCAAGCTGTTGGGCACTGATATTAGAGCACGTCCATGTTTTGTTAATCTTGTGTGTGATACATTAAATGTCGCTTGTTAAAATTGCCCCCTTTTTTAGGGAGTGTACACCCAGAAGAGGATTGACCCTCGGACTGTGAAGGAGGAGGTTGTGGACTTTGCCCGCTTCAAGTGGCCTCTACTTTTCTCGCGATTTTACGAGGCCTTCAAATTTTCAGGTTGGTTGAAGTATGACTTGCCTTATTTCTACAACTGTGATTTAGCCCCGAGTGACTGTAAAGGTCAAAATCACCATTGTCTCACTGAACCATAGGGTGGCCCTCTCTTTAGGGAAAAACAACTGTTGGTGATTGAACCTGAGGGTCACCAGGCCTTGGGTGAGGGCAGAGGTTGAGAAGGTGGGCCCTTCATGGTAACCCCAGCAGGTGCAGGAATTGAACCCATGTTGAATCCGTCCAGTTGAGCTAGCCGACCCCTATGTGAGTGTACATTATGAACACACAGGCAGGGACAGAGCAGCAGAGTCCTAGAGTTGTACAGCACAGAAGCAGACCCTTCGGTTCAACTTGTCCATGCTGACCAGATATCCTAAATAAATCTAGTCCCATTTGCCAGCAAATGGCCCATACCCCTCTAAACCCTTCCTATTCATGTACCCATCCAGATGCCTTTAAAACATTGTAACTGTACCAGCCTCCACCACTTCCTCTGGCAACTCGTTCCATACACGCACCACCCTCTGCGTGAAAAAGTCGCCCCTCAGGTCCCTTTTGTTTAATTTTTTTTTATTTCCTTTTACTCCTTCATGGGATGAGGGCATCCATGGCTAGGCAGCATTTATTGCCCATCCCTAACTGCCCTGAGGGCAGTTAAGAGTCAACTATGTGGGTCTGGAGTCACATTTAGGCCAGACCAGGTAAGGATGACATTAAAGGACATTAGTGAACCAATGGGTTTTTTAAATTTCTGACAATCTGCAATGGGTTAGATTCTTGATTCAAATTCCACCATCTGCTGTGACGGGATTTGAACCCAGGTGCCTAGGACATTACCTGGGTCTCCGGATTAACAGTCCAGCAATTTTAACACCACTAGGCCGTCATCTCCCGCTCTCTTGTCTCAAACCTATGTCTTTTATCTTTATCCCCAGAGTAGGGAGCCAAAGACCTTGGCCATTCACCCTATCCTTGCCCCTCATGATTTTATAAACCTCTATAAGGTCAGCCCTCTGCCTCTGCTGATCAGTGTCCCACACTCATTACACCTGGAATGTCAAGATGAAGCATTCCTAATCCCCTCCAGCAACTGGGAAGAGAAGAGAAACCCCAAAAAGAGTAGGGTAAATTAGATGAGATATCTGAAAGATTTTTCCCTCCCATTCCCTCAAAGGATCAAAACAAGTTTTGGAGATGGCTAAAGTGAACTGCTAAACAGCATGAGGTTTTTTTATAAGATGCAGTCTCCGCTCCAGCTGAGAACTGTCGCTCCTCCATGGATCACAGAAATTTAAAGCATAGCGCACAAACTGACTATTCCAAAAAGTTGTTTTATTCACTTGTGGAACATTGTTGCTGGCTGAACCAGCAGTTATTGCCCATCCCTAGTTGCCCCCTCAAGGTGGTGGTGAGAGCCGCCTTGAACCGTTGCAGTCCATGTGCTGTAGGTTGACCCACAATGCCCCTACAGAGGGAATGTGGGATTTTGAGCCAACGACAGTGATGGAACAGTGATATATTTTCAAATATATCGTCAGGATAGTGAGTGGCCCGGAGGGGAACTTACATGGGAACACCACCCCCTGCATTTCAAGCCTGTCTTGCTAACCAGAAAGGTCGGTCTGTGTGTGTCCTTTTTTCTTTTGAAGTGCATTTTCAGTTCTGTGGATCCCCACAATGTTGCTGATTTGACATCAGTTACTTCCCCCAGGATATTCTGTTTTCATGTTTCAGATTTCCAGCATTGACATATCTTTTGCATTTTGTGCATAATATTTCATGTCAAATTTGATTAACATTTTGGTTCAGGGTGTCTAGTATCTTTTTAATGGTGTGAAGCATTTTGAAGTGCTTCCCAGGAGCATGAACAAACGACAAACTTCAAAGCGAAATATGATGTGCCCTCTTCTGACCACCTAGTGTCTACCAATCTTGAGTGATGTGTCCATGTCTCAGTGGAGCCCCACACTCGGGGCAAACGTACACGCTTCAGGAGTGCTAGATTCATGGCTAGTTAACCGGCAGATCATGGAAAAGCCGAGTGGAATGGAATGGAGTGCAAAGAGGAAACTTTGGTATAATTGTGTAAGACACTAAACAACCTACCATTCAAATTCTGTGATCAGTTTTGTTTTTATTGTTGTCACATGCACCGAGATACAGTGAAAAGGGGTGTTTTGTGTGCTCTACAGGCAGATCGTACCATACAAAGAGCATCAGGATAGCAAGACAGAGTGCAGAATACAGTGTTACAGCCACAAAGAAGGTGCAGAGAGAGGGACCAGAATGAACATTTGAGGTCCATTCAAAAGCCAGATAACAGCGGGGGAAAAAGCTGTTCCTGAATCTATTTGTACATATACTCAAACTTTTGTATCTTCTGCCCAATGGAAGAGAGTATAACCAGGGTGGGAGGGGTCTTTAATTAAGTTAGCTGCTCTCCTGAGTATAGATGGAAGGTTGGATTGTGAGATGGACTGGGCTGTGTCGTAGCCTGGGAAGAGCAGTTGCCAAATCCTACTGTGATGCATCCAGATAGGATCCTTTCTACGGTTCTCTATAAAAAAAAAAAAAAAATTGGTTAGATTCCTTGTGGACAATGCTGAATTTCCTTGGCCTGAGAAAGTAGAGACCTTGTTCTGCTTTCTTGACCATCACCTTGACATGGGAGGACAAGGACAGATTGTTGGTGATCATCACTCTTAGAAACTTTTGTTCCCCTTTTTATGTAAGGAATGATATACTGGTATTGGAGGCAGTCCAGAGAAGGTTCACCAGGTTGATCCCAGGTATGGCGTGAGTGCCATACGAGGAAGAGTTGAGAAGAATCAGAAGCAACTTTATTGAAACATACAAAAATCTTTGAGATTTAAGAATTCCACATTTTCCCCTCGAGTGTGCGCGCTCTGGTCTGAGACAATATCAAATAGGGAGTCACCCGTTTGAAACACAGATGAGGAGGGATTTCTTCTGAGTACAATGAATCTGTGGAATTCTTTACTACAGAAGCTTGTCGAGGCTAGGTTGTTAAGTATATTCAAGGCTGAGTGGGATTTTTAATCAGTAGAAGAGTCAAAGGTGGGGAAAGGCAGGAAAGTGGAGTTGAGGATTATCAGATCAGCCATGATCTCATTGAGTGGCGGAGGAGAGGCGATGGTTGATTGGCCTTCTGCTGCTGCCACATGTTTTCTGGCCCTGTCTACATGAGCCAGCAGGATGGTTCGGAGATGAGCATTATCGCAACTACCTGTACAGTTGCCATTTCCTGGGTCAGGACCAGGATGGATGATCCAACAGATGTTACAGTACGTGTTGGGGATTAGGTATCCTACTAATCTGCAGTGTTCTCCCTGTTGTTCTGGCCAATATTGATCCCTTGAGCAACATGAAGAAACAATGCCTACCTTGAAGTTATCGTCCTCCCTCTGGAAAGACCTCAGTGGATCTCTCCCACCTATCTACCCTTCTCGCCTCACTGACCAATCCCCTCCACTCCCTACCTGCACTCATCTATCAACATCCCATCTACTTTCCCCAGCCCCACCCCTCCTCTATTTATTTCTGAGCTCCCTTCCCCCTCCCATTTCTGAAGAAGGGTCCTGACCCAAAATGTCAGCTTTCCTGTTCTTCTGCTGCCTGGCCTGCTATGTTCATCCAGCTCCACAGTGTTTTCTCTGACTCCAGCATCTGCTGTTCTTGCTATCCCTCATGAAGAAAAAATTATCCCATTTCTGTTTGTGGGAGCTTGCTGTGTGCAAATTGGCTTCCCCACTTCCTGCATTGCAACAGTGACTACTCTGCATTGACTGACCGCACTTCGTTAAGTGTAAAGTGCTTTGAAACATCTGGTGGTTGAAGGCTGCATTATCTTTTTGAAACGTACTCTGAAATACAGATGCTGGGCCAAAGACAGGTCCCAATCCTCTCCAGGTTGTCTGAGAGATGGAACTTGATCTACCGAGACCCACTAACTGAGCTGGTGACATTGCTGTTGAGTTTACTGATGCTTGTTTGTTCGTTTGTTTGTTTGTTTGTTTGTTTTCTTCTTCTTCATTAATTCTTCCCCTGCCCCCTACCTCACTTCAGGCCCGAGCCTGCCAAAGAATGACGTGATTGTAGCTGTCAACTGGACTGGCGTGTACTTTGTCGATGAACAGGAGCAAGTCCTTCTAGAACTTTCTTTCCCCGAAATCACTGCAGTCACCAGCAGTAAGTAAGTAATGGGCTGGAACTTAAAAGGAAGCAGTTGGGAAATTTGAATTGAAAGCTAGAGATTAGATACTGCGTGTTTTTGGGGGACACCACAATAGGTTAAATGACTTTTTTCACTCCCTGATTCAAATAAACTAAAAGCAAAGTTTATTTTTCTGATGAAGGGTCTAGGCCCGAAACGTCAGCCTTTCTGCTCCTATGATGCTGCTTGGCCTGCTGTGTTCGTCCAGCTCTACACCTTGTTGTCTCTTTTATTTTTCTTTTAATGGGATGTGGACACTGCTGGAAAGCCCAGCACTTTGTTGCAAGTCCCTAATTGCCCTTGATCTTGCTCCGATCAGATTAGTGCTGGGAGTGGAGGGTTTGCAGTATAAAGACCGGCTGGGACTTTTATCACTGGAGGTTGAGGGGTGACCTTTCTCAGAGGTGTATAAAATCAGGAGGGGAATGGATATGGTGAATGTACGATTTGAAGCGCCCACTGACAAGGCTTCATGCCTGACTTGTAGGGGAAGCAAAATGCAGGGGCAGAGTTTCACACTGGCCACCATTAAAGGCGACGAATATACCTTCACCTCCAACAATGCAGAGGATATCCGGGACCTTGTGGTGACCTTCCTGGAGGGGCTGAGGAAGAGGTCAAAGTTCGTGGTCGCTCTGCAAGATAACCCGAGCCCTGGTGAGTGAACAGCAGGATAACCCTCGACTCTGCTCCTATATTCAGGGGGTTGACATGATGTCATACGCTGCTTAAATGGCCTTTCGTACTTTCCTGAAGCACAAGGTTATTTAGAAACCTATAGGTTCCTTGTTTTCTTTTGTCATTTCGCCCTCGGGTCCATTCTGTCTCCTGCCCTCCATCCCTAACTCTCTCATGAAAATTCTTTTGTTAATGGAGCACCGGTTTCTGAGGGCGATACTTGTCCAGAATGGAAAGTATTCTTCTCTTTTAGAAACCTAGTGCTGTATTAAAGTCTGAATTGTACAAGATGAGCGTAAAACAAAGTGAGGAAAATTTGGTAACTATTTTAATTATTATCAGGGTAATGCGGTGGCTTAGTGGTTAGCACTGCTGCCTCACAGCACCAGGGGATCCCAGCCGTGTGTGTGTGTGGTTTGCACATTCTCCCTGTGTCTGCGTGTGTGTCCTCCCTCAGTCCTGGGATGTACAAGTTAGGTGGATTGGCCGTGGAAATGTAGGGTTAGGATAGGGGTATGGGTGGAATGCTGTTCAGAGGGTCAGTGCAGGCTTCATGGGCTGAATAGCCTCTTGTCAGCACTATAGGATTCCATGACCTCACCACCCCCTCTTTCCCAAGTGAACCACTACCCCACCCCATCCTACCACTCTGTGTAGACACTTTGACACCAAACTGACCACTTTTAAAATGGCCCTGAAACGGACCTTTCCCAGTGGTGAGATCGGCAATATCAGTCAATCCAGAGCATGCCCCACCACCACCGCAGCAGTTCTGGCTGATGGCCGTGTTAATGGTTCTGTTCTCTCGTGCAGTTGGCGATGATTTGACATTCCTCACCTTCCAAAAGGGAGACCTGATCCTTCTGGATCATGACAGCGGGGAGCAAGTGATGACCAGTGGCTGGGGTCATGGAATGAATGAAAGGACTAAGCAAAAGGGTGACTTCCCCACCGACTGCGTCTACGTGTTACCTACTGTCACCAAGCCACCAGCTGAGATTGTGGTAAATGGCTTTACGGTTGTTGTTGTAATGTGCTGACTTCTGGCACTGGAGGAAAGGATGGGATTGCGTTTAATGACAGCACCTACTGAATATTCCAAAGTACTTTGCCTCAAATGAATATATTTTCAAGCGCTTTCACTGCTGGGTAGACCAAGGTGGCAACCAATTTGTGCACAAAGCTCCTGCAAGCAGCAATTGAATTGGGTGGCACAGTGGCTCAGTGGGTTAGCACTGCTGCCTCGCAGTGCCAGGGACCCAGGTTCGATTCTACCCTCGGGCCTTTGTGGAGTTTGTACATTCTCCCTGTGCCTCCGTGGGTTTCCTCCGGGTGCCCCAGTTTCCTCCCATAGTCCAAAGATGTGCTGGTTAGATGGATTAGCCATGGGAAATGCAGGGTTACAGGGATAGGGTGGGTGGGATGCTCTTTGGAGGGTTGGTGTGGGCTCAATGGGCCAAAAGGCCTGCTTCCAAACTGTAGGGATTCTATGAATTGAATGATTCTCAAGTATGACTAAGAAAGGGAGAGATTGCCATTTTGTCTTGTGCTCAGGACACCTGATAGAATGCCAAACATTTAAAGGGATGATCAATCTATACTTCATGTTAATAGGGCATGGATTGGTTGGCTGCTCTGTTGTCTAGCAACGATAATTCCTTGATGCATTCTCTGTGCCTCTACCTCAACTGGTCAGAACTGATTTACCAGCCAATCAATACCCTTTTTCTCGTGGAGTATAAATCATTGATCCCTTTGAAATTTGGTATTCTTGCATGTATCCTGATGAGTACAAAACACGGTTTTGTACTCGTGTCTCTTTGTTTTAGTGATACTGAATAATCATTGATCTGCTTTTGCTGCTTGAGGTAGCAATGTACCGGGGAAACCTTTTTGAAGGTTGCAGAATATCTGCCCTGTCCACAGCAACAGCTAAACTTGGGGCAATATCTGGGGGGGAAAAAAAAGTATTTGCTAAACGAGGCAGCACAGCAGTGTGTCTCAGCCTTGCAGTGGCGCTCAGTTCTCACGTGAGGTTTGAATACATGACCTCTTACTCACAAGATCAGCTAACACTTGGGCTCTTGCAGGTCATTTTCATATCCATAACACACGACCTGGGATTGGTTTAATAGGTGAATATGGTGCATGGTGTGGTATGTAAACTAGGAAGAGTTCACCGATTTCGGTGTGGGAGGGTATGGTTGTCCAATCCTTCTGTACTTGGGCAATGGTTGTGCTAAAGCATGTGGGTGTGTACAGAACCACCCTTTACATCTCCCGTTCTCTCTCTCTCTCGTTCCAGTGCTTGGTTACCATGACGCCAGGCCAGCGACAGGAAGTCATCAAGACCTCCCAATTGCCCATAACAGAGCTGGAGGAGAAGGTTAAGCCTTACACCCTGGAAGAGTTCTCATATGACTACTTCAGGTAGGAACACAGGAGCAGGAGTAGGCCACTTCAATCCTTCAAGCCTGCTCCACTCATCTCAATGATGGCTAAAACATCTAACTCAATGCAAGAAAATGGCATTATCTCCATGTCCCTTGATGGCATTATTGCTTAGAAATCTATCAATCTCTGAGCATGATCAATGACTGAGCTTCCGCAATCCTCTGGGGCAGTGAATTCTGAGGATTCATTACCCTCTGAGTGAAGAAATTCCTCTTCATCTCTGTCCTTTTTAAGGGATTGCCTTTTATTCCTAGACTATATCCCCCTAGTTCTCAGACCCTACAGCCAGAGGTAATAGCCTTCCTGACCTTTTGTCTCCCTTAAGGAGTTCTGCGAGTTTCCAGGAGACGGTATCTCATTCTTCTCAATTCTGTTGGATACAGACCCAATTTCCTTAATCTGTTCCCCATGGGACAATCCTTCCAAGGCAGGAATCATTCTGGAGCATTCCATCAAGAGGAGGGAGAAAGGAATTGCTATGGTTCCACAATGCTGTTTTAGTATCACTTCCAAGTAGATGCTTTTGTAACTGTTTATCCTTGTGTTGTTTCCAAATTCCTAGGCCACCTCCAAAGCACACGTTAAGCCGAGTGATGATCACAAAGAATCGTGGGAAAGACAAGATGTGGTCCTGTACCCGGGAGCCCATGAAACAGCCTCTACTGAAGAAGCTGCTGAACAACGAGGAGCTGTCACAAGAATCTTGCCTTGCGTTCACTGATATCCTTTTCCGTTTCCCAAAGATCTGGGTTCCAACTGTGGAAACCGACCTACGTGAGAAATACTTGACTAAGTGCAAAATCTAGTGACCTCCTCTTGTCTCGGGACCTCCAGTGGTCCATTGAGCTCATTCCTATGGTGTCAATTTCTGGGCATCATGCTTCAGGAAGGACACGAAGATCTTGGAGAACATTGCAGTAATTTTTACATCCACACCAAAATGACCGAGTCATGGGTTTGGAAGGTGCTGTTGTAGGGGCTTTAGGTGAATTTCTGCTGTGCCTCGTGGTGGTGGTAGTAGTAGGTACCGAGTGTCGGTGGTAGAGGGATGGATGTTTGCTGATGGTGCCAATCAAGCAGGCTGCTTTGCCCTGGATGGTGTCAAGCTTCTTGAGTGTTGTTGGGGCTGCACCCATCCAGGCAAGTGGGGAGTATTCCATCACACTCCTGACTTGTGCCTTGTAGGTGGTGGACAGGCTTTGGGGGAGTCAGGAGGCGAGTTACTTGCCACAGAATTTTTGGTCTCTGACCTGCACCTGTAGCCACTGTATCTACATGGCAAGCCCAGTTCAGTTTCTGGCCAATAGCAACCCCCAGGATATTGTTGGGGTTTCAGTGACGGTAATGCCATTGAATATCAGGGAGTGATTTGTGTGTGTGTGTGTGTGTGTGTGTGTGTGTGTGTGTCCTATCGGTGATGATCATTGTCTGGCATCTGTCAATTACCAGTAGCCTGTCCAATCCTGGATATTATCTAGCACTTGCTACATTTGGACATGGGCTGTTTCGATATCCTGAGTCATGAATGGTACATAATTTTCCATTTCAGAGGACTGTTAAGAGCCAACCACATTGCTGTGGATCTAGAGTCTCGTATGTCAGCCACACAGGGGTAAGGATGGTAGACTTCCTTCCCTGAAGGCTGTTGATGAGGAGGATGGGTTTCTATGACAACCCATGATGGCTCCCATCATGGAAAATGGCTTCCGGTTTTATCCTGGGAATTTAAATTCCATGATGCCCTGGTGTGATTGGAGCCCAGTTCCCCAGAGCTGTAATGTGGGTCTCTGGGTTAGAAGTCTGGTGAGTAATACCACAGTGCCACCGTTTTGTGTCAAGGCACGAGGTGAATGAAGAGATAGTAGGAACTGCCGATGCTGAGATAACAAGGTGTAGAGCTGGATGAACACAGCAGGCCAAGCAGCATCAGAGGAACAGGAAAGCTGACGTTTTGGGTCTGGACCCTTCAGAAAAGAAATGTCAGCTTTCCTGCTCCTCTGCTGCCTAGCCTGCTATGTTCATCCAGCTCTACACCTTGTTATCTTGTACTAGGTAAATGAATGTGCTTTCTGTCATTTGCCTTGACTTCTAGCCAGCACCTATCATGAAGTACATGGGTGACTATCCCTCCAAGAGAATGCGGTCCGTGAATGAACTGACTGACCAAATATTCGAAGCTGCTTTGAAAGGGGAGCTGATGAAAGACGAGATTTACTGCCAGGTCCTCAAACAGCTCACTGATAACCATGTGAAGTGAGTCCAGTCACCAAACTGGCTGCTTTTTGGGCTGAAATAATAACAGACTGGAGAGCTAAATAAGACACCAGCTCAGACTCTTAAAATGTTAGATATCTATGAAGTGAGAAGTCACACGACTTCTGTTTGAAATCACAAGCTTTTGAAGCGCTGCTCCTTTGTCAGGGACCTCCTGACCCCTGACAACTCCACATCATATATACTAAGTGTTAGGGAATGTGAGCCTTCTCAAGATTAAACCTGCAATAGACAAGGCAATTTCCAATTTTAAGCTGGATAATTAAATGAGTAGTTGGTATCTGGATAGTGCGAGAAGGCAGGAGCTGACTTGGGTTTATTCAAAATGTTACAATCCTGATTGACATTAATATTAAAGAGTCAGACCAGAGTGAGACACAACTTGATATACGTTAACAGGGACACATGCGTGCCAAATTGCTGGAAAAGCTCAGCAGGTTTGGCAGCATCTGCGAAGAGAAATCAGAATTAACATTTCGGGTCCGGTGACCCTTCCACAGAAACCAGAGCCCCTGGAAGAAACCCACACAGACACGGGGAGAATGTGCAAACTCCACACACAGTCACCGAAGAGTGGAATTGAACCAATGTCCCTGATGCTGTGAGACAGCATTGCTAGCCACTGTGCTGTCCCCACACTAAAGCTTATTATTCAGGCTCTCTCAGCTGTAGCTGGTTTCCTTCAGTATATTTCTGTGCATTCACTAGATGCTTTTCTTCTTCAGTTAATTACTCTCCTTCGATACCTAAAACAAACTGAATTTAATGTTACCTTTTTATTTCAGAGGAAACATATGAATTTCCTAAACTCAGTTTGCGTCAGTTTTGTAGCATTTCTTGATGAAACATTTTGCCTTCTGTGTCTACTCTCGGCACAGCTGCATACTATCTGACCTCTGGATTTTTTTCTGGCTGTCTGTGTAACCCCGTACCTCTGTTTCTAGCCAACATGGCAGTGATTTTATTTTTGTTTCAACTTTTTTAATGCACCGAACCACCAAGCCCATCCCTTTGTTTCAAGGTTATGAAAACTCCCCAAAACCTACGTGTACAAACAGGTCCCCAGACATGTCTGCATCAAGCCTGCAAAATTACTGTTAAAAATGAAACTGAAACGATGTCTCCCATTTCTTGACACTGCAAACACCAAATAGAAATTAAAGGCAGTAGTAACTCAGCAGTTAGCATTAACTCAGAGCACCAGGGGACCTAGGTTTGATTCCAGCCTTGGGCAACTGTCTGTGTGGAGTTTGCATGTTCTCCGTGTCTGTGTAGGTTTCCTCTGGGTGCCCTGGTTTCCTCCCACAGCCATGCTAAATTGCCCATAGTATTCAAGCATGTGCAGGCTAGGTGGATTAGCCATGGGAAATGCAGGGTGGGGGGTTGGTCTGGGTGAGATGCTGTTTGGACGGTCAATGTGGACTCAATGGGCCAAATAGCCTGTTTCCACACTGTAGGGATTCTATGATTCTAAATGTTATCCATTGTTCCTAAGTAAATGGAAAATAAATGAAGGCGAGGCCCTTATTTAATAAGTAACAAAATGGAATGGAGAAAAGAACAGGACTTAATGTCGATAAATTTCAAAACCTGATGGTTTCCTCCACAGGGTCATAAAAGGAATAAGTGAGAAGTTGTAAAAATGAGTGAAACCTTTTTTCAGTGCACTTCTGATACAGGAGCTACTTATTAGTGGCAGCAGGTTTAAGGGTTTGAGTAGGCCTCTCCAACTTCCCAATGTTCTGATATTTTTCAAATGTCAGACTTGTGTGTAATATTGTACTGAACTAAATTAATCAACTTGAAGGCCACCTGTTTGAAGCCACATTGCTGTATGTACTGTTAGTGTAGGAGTATTTGGTTCATCCTCCTTTGATCTTCTTGAGCACTGGCCCTGTTTAAGCCAAGTGTAGAGAGCAAGCTGCAGGTGTTTTTGATCATCTTTGAACTGGCCCTTAAGAGAGACACGAATGGATTTTTATAGGGTGCCAAGTTTGTAGCCAGGGTGCCAATTGGGAGACCATGGTACACTTGGTAGAACACTTTAATTGGTTCAGGGCTAATCTTAGGGTCATGGAGTCATACAGGACAGAAACCAACCCTTTGGTCCAACCAGTCCAAGCTGACCATAATCCCAAACTTAAACTAGTCCTACTGTCTTCTGTGGGTGATTTGAGTTTTAATTTTTGTTAAAACGATCCTCTTTTTGTCTTGGAGCTCCACCAAATGTTATGCCCCCCAGCTGAAGGTAACGCTGGAAAAGTCAAACCCCAGAATGAAACCTGGTTTGACTGATCGTACACTTTAATTTTAGCAGTTCATTCGCATGGTGTTTAGTCACTGAAATGTATTCATACAAGGATGCAGAATGTCCCTTAGCAATAGGATATTAGCATGGCTTTTTTTTTCTTGCAAAAATATGTATCACAGTCAGAAAGACCTTGACGCAAACTTGAAAACAAAGTTTCAACCTAATTCTCAGCAACGTCCATTATGGAGATTCAGTGTAACTCTCGTCTGAACTTCTTAAATTTTTAACTGATTTGATTTTCCTGCGTTTCTTTTTTCTTTGGTGCAATCAACTTTGATTTCCAAGTCTTTTGGCACATCTCACAAAGTGTGATGGCTGAAACTCTCAGTTCTGACGTGTTGAATGTTAAAATCCCTCCTGGCTTGGAATCTTCAGTCTATAAAACAATTCTGCTAAAGTGACTTGGTTTTCCTGAACTGACTTTGTTCTTTCGTTGGAGAAACTATTCTGTCTTCTGAAGTGAAACTTTGAACCTTCTGGAAAGTACAGTGATTATCGTGATAGAGAAACAAAAATTGATGGAAAATCTCAGCAGGTCTGGCAGCACTTGTGCAGCCCTGCACACCAGGCTTCGGTATCATATGATCTACTATTATACACAAGCTATTGTTGGACACTAATAGTCCCCGTTAGTGGCCATTCATTCTCCCAGGCTAATTGCTATCTACTCCTTTGTCTGTCCAACTGTTCTTCTCTCTGTGTTTGCGCTCTATCTCCACCTATCATTTTAGACCTTACCCCCTCGTCCCAACCCTATCATTCTCCTAGCTACCGTCAGTTCTGTAAAAGGATCACTGGACCTGCAATGTTAACTCTTTCCTTCAACAGATGCTGCCAAACCTGCGGAGATTTTCCAGCAATTTGTTTTGCTTCTGATCACCAGCATCCACTGTTCCTTAATTCATTTTTTAAAAAAATGATCATGATGTGTGTTAAGGCTTCCGTAAGCCTAACAGCATAAACGTTTTATCTATTAACATCACAGCGGTTATTCCTACTGCAGTCACAGGTTTTCTTGGAACTGATGTATTAAGGTCACTGTTCCAAATTGACTTTTTGATCTGCACTTTTTTTAAGAAAAAGCCTTTAGAGAACTGACGCACATCCACCTACCTCTATTTCAAAATCCACATCCAAAATACACAATAATATGTTTATCTCACGCTGTTGATTACATTAATTTCAATATCCTATATTAGAAGATTCTCAGATTGTTGTCTTGGCAAATTGTACTTTGCTTGTTGTCGTTTTAGTGAGGTATGGGTGTTGTTGGCAAGGCCAGTATTTGTTGCCTAGGGCCATTTCCAGAGGGCAGTTTCAGAGCTGATCACATTGCTGTGGGTGGGAGTCACATGTAGGCCAGAGTTGGTAAGGACAACAGATTTCCTGCCTGAAAGGACAACAGTGAACCAGATGAGTTTTTATAACAATCGGCATTGTCACGGTCTCCATAATGGAGACTAGCTTTCAATTCCAGATTGATACTTTGATATTAAATTCCACCAGCTGCCCTGCGAGGATTTGAACCCATGTCCCCAGAGCTTTAGCCTGGACACTCTGCATTACTGGTCCAATGTCAGCAGTGCTAGGCAGCTGTCTTGACCCTCACTGACCACTTCCTGTTGTTCCCTCCCCGATGTTGAAGCTGGTTGTCTCAGTTTTGCCTGCGGCTTAGTGTTCACAGTGTGTCTTTTTTTGGTCAGGTACAGCGAAGAGAGGGGCTGGGAGTTACTCTGGCTCTGTACAGGACTCTTTCCCCCTAGCAACATCCTCCTGCCTCACGTCCAGAGATTTCTACAGTCAAGGAAAAGCCACTTGCTCGCTGCAGACTGCATGCATCGACTCCAGAAAGCGCTCCGGTAAGAGTGTCCTTTTCTCATTGTTGTTGGGCTCTCTTGGTCTCTGCCCCTCTCCGTTCTCAGTCGCTTGGTCTCCGTGCACCCAGTTTTGTGAGCACCTGTATTCCGATGTGCACAGGCCACTAATGCTCTGTTGGAGTGGGGTGCATGCGTCCAAAAAGCTGTAAATGCCCCAAAGGGAAACTGTGTCCTCTGCTGAAATGTGGATAGTCAGTGGATGACCTCCCAAATACCCACCACCTCTGCTCTCTCGCAGCTGTGTGTAGCCCAGAACTCGGACAGAAGGTTAATCTCCAATTGCTGGAGTAACAGTGGCTGCGACTTTCTCCAGCCCTCTGAGATGCAAGGAGCCATTCCAAAGGTGGACAGTGACATTATCCCTCAATCAACATTGCAACAAGTCAATAATATCTGAACTATCTTGTTTTCCATTTTGTTGGGAGGGTTTCGGCTCGTTACGACAGTGACTACACTCCCCAAGAACTGTTGGTTGTAAAGCCATCTTGATGGTTCCGGGTCATTAGAGACACAGTGGAAATGCTAGAACCTTCTCTATAAAATGCGGTTTATCAAGTTGCTCCATCTCTCCTCTTGGCCACTTACAGGAATGGATCCAGGAAGTATCCGCCTCACCTGGTGGAAGTGGAAGCTATCCAGCACAAAACCACTCAGATCTTCCACAAAGTTTACTTTCCTGATGACACAGATGAGGTAAGTGACACCCTGCTTAACAACCAAAATGTATTCAATTGCAGACTTCAGTATTGGCGTAGACTCTCTGTGCCTCTCGTAGTTTTGTATACCTTAATCAGATCCCGACTGTGCCACCGCAACTCCAAAGAAAACACCCAGCTTATCCAGTGTCTCCTCATAACTGAGACTTCTCATCCCAGGCAACATCCAGGTGAATCTCCTCTGCACCCTCCTCCAGTACAATCACACCCGATTAATATGGCAACCAGAACTGCACACATTATTCCGTTTGTGGCCTAACCAATGTTTTTATAAAAGTTGTAACAAGACTTCCCTGCTGTTATATTCTACGTCCTGGCTAATGAAGGTGAGCACTTCATATACTGCCTTCACTACCCTGTCTACCTGTGCTGATACCTTCAGGGATCTGTGGACTTGGGCACAAAGGTCCCTTTGTTCCTCAGTACTCCCTTGGGACCTACCATTCATTGTGTATGTCCTTTTTTTTAACAGATCTCCCAAAATGCATCAACCTGCACTTATTAAATTGCTCTGCACAATTTACCAGCTGATCAACTGTCTCCATTTTCCTTTTTAAAGATCCATCCAGCAGGATCTCCATGTTCTATTGACTGTTTGTTTACATAATTGCTGCTCCTTCCACAATTAATTGACTCTCCTGCTTGGGTCTGACACCTGTCACTCAGGTCTATTGCATTAATTCCTCGTGGTTGATTTATTTCTTTCTGCCAGTATTCCTTGGGAATATTAACCAGGCATTTATTCTTTCATGGGATGTGGGTGTCACTGGCCAGGCCAGAATTTATTACCCATTTCCCCTGTTACCCTGTTAGCTTGGAAAGGTTGCTGCTCTGTTCGTTTTGGGGTGATGATTAACCTTTTGCAACTCTCTGACCTTCCCCAAAATATCGATGTGATGCTTTAAACCAAAACCCAGAATGCTGAGTGATGGGATTTTCCTGACTTCTTCACTGATCCCCTCATTCCTATCTCAAATCAACTGACACAGAATCCCTACAGTGTGGTAGCAGGCCATTCAGCCCGTTTTTGAGTCTACACAAACTCCACCCAGATCCACCACCCCAAGCCTATCCCTGAACCCTGCATTTGCCATGGCCATGGCCATGGCCAATCCACATAATGTGCACATCTTTGGACTGTGGGAGGAAACCCACGCAGACACTGGGAGAATGTGCAAACTCCACACGCAGTCGCCCGAGGGTGAAATTGAACCTGGGTCCCTGGCGTTGGGAGGCAGGCTAACCACTGAGCCACTGTACAACTGTCCATACAACTTTTTGTTCTTGTCTTCCAAGTCTGTGTGTCTTCTTTTTTTCGTCATAATGTGAGTTCCAAACTCATTGACAGCTTTGCAACATAAGTTGGTAAATGTGAGATGAGTGTGAATATCTCATTGCGGTGAGCAATGTAAGAATTCCCTGATTTTGGAGGCCCTAACCATGTTTGGTAAATTCCACAGGCATTTGAAGTAGAATCTAGTACGAAAGCTAAAGACTTCTGCCAGAATATCTCAGCCAGACTGTTGTTGAGATTTCCCGATGGCTTCAGCTTGTTCGTCAAGATCTCTGACAAGGTAACCAGCTTCTACGGCAATGGTGTGAAATATTAAAGGAATCAAAGAAGTTGGAAGCAGAACTGGTTGTTTTTTGACAACTTGGTACGGAGCTGGATGAACACAGCAGGCCAGGCAGCATCGGAGGAGCAGGAAAGCTGATGTTTCGGATCAAGATCCTTCTTCAGAAATGGGTCCTGACCCAAAACATCAACTTTCCTGCTCCTCTGATGCTGCTTGGCCTGTGTTCATCCAGCTCCACGTTGTGTTCTCTCTAACTCCCAGTGTCGGCAGTTCCTGCTATCCCTACCTGTGAGTGTTTCTTTTTTGTTATATTTGCACTTGGGCCTGGGTGTCATAGACTGGGCCAATATTTGTAGCCCATCTCTAACCCCAACCCTCTGGTTTGAGAAGGGCAGTCTGAGTGCTATAGGTACACCCAGCCCTGGTCGAAAGGACTAGTAAAGCATAACCAAATGGCATTCTGACCCATGTGGACTGATCAACAACCTGGGGGTTGTCAGTGTAGACCAATCGAGCCAACACTCTCCCGTATCACTCATCCCATGTCCCTGTCGCACCGTCTCCACCCCCGCTCCATCTGTCACATACACCCTCCCTCTGCCTCTCATCCTGTATCCTGTTACCATGATCTTGGCCTTGCCATAAAATCTGGAAAGTTGGAGTTTGGATCAAAGTGTTGGGACTGTGTGTGTGAGAGAGAGAGAGAGAGAGAGAGAGAGAGAGGGGGGATCTGGCTGCTGCTGATGGTGATCTTGTTGATTATTGCCAGGTGATCAGTGTTCCTGAAGGAGACTTCTTCTTTGACTTTGTGCGACATCTCACCGACTGGATCAAGAAAGCTCGGCCGACTAAGGACGGTAAAGAACGGAACAAAGTCTGTCTGTCAAAGCTGGCTTTTTTTTTAATAAGCAAAACACTCTAGGTTCTTGTGGTGCAGTAATAGTGTCCCTACCTTTAGACCAGGAGGTTCAAGTTCAAGTTCAAGTCCTACCTGCTCCAGAGTAATAACATCAATGTACAGGCTGATTTCTTACAGCAAGCACCCTCCTGGGATTGTTTTCCAGTTCTATACTGTGGTGTTTTGGAGAATGCGTGTTGTTCTGGGTGGTTGGTCATCTGAAGGGGGTTAGGAGGTAGGGACCGGCAGTTGTCCACTACTCTTTAGAATATTCATGATTTGTCATTGAAAGCAATGGTTATGATTTCCTGATGTACAAATGATGTTTCACGTTGGCAGAATGGACACGGTCACGTTCAGCTGTTGATAGCAGCACCACGTTACGTAGAAATATAGAAGATAGGAGCAGGAGGAGGCCATTCAGCTCTTCGAGCCTGCTCTACCATTCGTCACAGTCATGGCTGATTGTCTAACTCAATAGCCTAATCCTGCTTTCTCCCAATAACCTTTTGATCCCATTCACCCCAAATGCTATATCTAGTTGCCTCTTGAATACACTCACTGTTTTGGCATCAACTGCTTCCTGTGGTAATGAATTCCACAGGCTCACCGCTCTTTGGGTGAAGAAATGTCGTCTCCTCTCTGTCCAAAATCGTCTACCTCGAATCCTCATACTGTGACCCCTGGTTCTGGACACGTTCACCATTGGGAATGTCCTGCATTTACCCTGCCCAGTCCTGTTAGAATTTAAGTTTCCGAGATTCCAACCCCCCTGCCCCCCGCCATTCGTTTGAACTCCAGCGAAAACAGTCCCAGCATAGTCAATCTCTCCTCAGGTCAGACGCGCCATCCCCAGAATCAGTCTGATAAATCTTCGCTGCACTCCCTCAAGAACAAGAGCATCCTTCCTCGGAAAATTAAACCAAAACGGCGCACAATATTCCAGGTGTGGTCTCAGCAAGACCCTGTATAACTGTAACAACACATTTCTGCTCCTGTACTCAACCTCTCACATTGAAGGCCAACATAGCATTTACCTTCTTTACTGCCTGCTGCACCTGTATGCTTACCTTCTGTGACTGGTGTGCAAAGACACCCAGGTCCCGCTGCACACTCCCCCTCTCCCAATTTACAGCCTTTCAGGTAGTAATCTGCCGCCTTGTTCTTGCTTCCAAAGTGAATAACCTCACATTTGTCCAAATTATACTGCAAAAGAAGGCAAGCAAGTTAGCTGAAGCAGAAACAGTTAAGGTTATTAATCTTCTTTTGGCATTTCCAAACCAGCATTTTGAAATGTTAACTCTGTTGCTCCGTCCACAGATTTTATTTGGGATTTCCGATATCCATCACGTTTTGATTTTTATTTTGAACAAGTTGGTTGGCTTGATACGGAGTGTTTTCCCCACCCTGTCAAACATCCTGCAGTAGTTTATTTTCAAAGTGCTATTAGTGTTGTAATGTAGGCAAACTGTGTGTAGCAAGAGCCACCCCTCTTCCCAAAACTGCAATGTGATGATTAGGACCAGATCTGTCTTATTTCCTTCAGTTGAGGAATAACAAGTGACCTCTGCTGCACCTCTTCAAAATAGCACTGTGGAACAAAGAACAGTGATGGTCTTCTGTTAATTAATTAAGGTATATTTAGAGTCATACAGCATGGAAGCAGACCCTTTTGGTCCAACACATCCATGACAAACAAGTTTCTTAAACTAAACTAGTCCCACTTGCCTGTGTTTGACCCATATCCCTCTAAACCTTTTTTCCTATTCATGTACTTATCCAAATGTATTTTAAATGTTGCCACTGTACCCACATTGACCACTTCTTCCTCTGGAAGTTCATTCCACATATGGACCGTTCTTTGTGTGAAAAAGGTTCTCCTAGAGTTCCTTTTTTAAACCTTTCTCCTCTCTCCTTAAACCTATGCTGTCTAGTTTTAGACTCCCTACCCCAAGGAAAAGACTTTTGCAATTCACCCTAACCATGCCCATCATGATCTTATAAATCTCTTGTAAGGTCACCCCTCAGCCTCCTGTGCACCAAGGAAAAGTATTTTCATGCCCTACCTAAGGAGGTGAAGAGGGGATGTTGATTTAAGTAGGCATGTCCTCAAGCAGCACCCTGAATGCTTGCTGCATCACCTCAGGACTGGACTAGTGTGTGATTTGTTCCTGTCTTCGGAGTGTGATTTTGAACTTGCTATCTCCTAGATTAAGAGACATGTGCTACCCACAGTGGGCGCAGTTGAATTGCAGTCTGCTGTTGAGTGAGCAGGTGAAGATGACTACCAAATCACACAGGAGCCCAAATTTCCACCAATTTAGTGAGTGGAGCTGGCAGAGATGTTCTGGGAGGTCACATTAGCTTCATGGGTTTTTGCCGTTCATTGGCATTGTTTTTTTTTCCATAATCTGAGCCTGCTTTCAGGATTATTAGTACAGTCCTTTTTTGAGAGCAAAAGGCAAGTCAGTTTTTGTACTCTGTTTTTTTTCTAGGTGTAATGCCTTCTCTGACATACCAGGTCTTCTTCATGAAGAAACTATGGACGCATACAGTTCCTGGAAAGGACCCAATGGCAGATTCCATCTTTCATTATTATCAGGTACCATGGTGTCACTGACCAGCTTGCCCTGAAATTTTAGTTCTGAGACATTTTGCACACTGTCCTTGAGCTCAGGGATGTACTCGGTTACTCGGTAAATTGGCTGGTTGCTGATTCCCAATTCTTGGAGGATTAGGGTTTGTTGCAGTCTTATGTTCCAAACCCTGTTTTTGGTGAACTACAGGACTGGAGCATTTGCTGCTCTACCCCTGAAACCACTTACTGCAGTGAGTTTACTGTTTATACATCTTCACCGCCATCTTCAAAGATAGAAAAACATAGAAAACATGAGCAGGAGTAGACCGTTTTTGAGCCTGCTCTGCCACTCAATATGATCGCAGCTGATCATTGAACTCGGTCCCTGTCCCCACTTTCTCCCCATTCCCTTTCATCCCTTTAGCCCTAAGAGCTATATCTAACTCCTCCTTGAAAAATTCCAATGCTTTGGCTTCAACCACTTTGTGGCAGAAAATTCCACAAGCTCCCTCCTCTCTGGGTGAAGACATTTCTTCTCCTCTCCATCCTAAATGGCCTACCCTCTATCCTCAGACTGTGACCCACCAATGTTGAAGCATTGAAGTGTAGCCGTTTTAGGAAATGCAGCCAAGTCGCACATGGTGAGATTCCCAAAACAGCAATGTAATAGGGTGATGATTTGCTTTTGTGAAGTTGATTTGAGGAATAAATACTGGCCAATATGTTTAAATGCCAGAGTTAAATGCTGGCTAAAGAGTCCAGGCTTAGATATTTCCAGTCTGAGTTCTACTCCTCAGTCAGTCAAACTCCTACACACCCACTGATATTCACCCCACACATCCAATCAAGTGCTCCCTCAATTATCGCTTTTTAAAAAGCACATGACTATCCCCTATTCACTAATTTCATTGGGTCTCCAGTACCCTTGCTAGACTTTGCTAAACAGTAACACAAACGTGAGGAATAACTGCCCTGCTCTTTAAAATAGCACAGTGGGATATTTTATGTCTGCCTGAGATGAGACATTGGGTTAACATCTAAGAAGGGACTGTCGTATTGAATTTTTAATGTTATTTCCTTATTTTTCTACTGAAGATAGCACTGGGAATGGCAATATTATGTACTTTTCGCTGTAATTCTGTACCCCTGTATTGAGTACACGTGACAATAAAACCTAACTCGGACAGTACCTTTGTAGTGCTCCCTTTTTCTGATGAAGGGTCTAGGCCCGAAACGTCAGCCTCTCTGCTCCTATGATGCTCCTTGGCCTGCTGTGTTCATCCAGCCCTGCACTCTCAGTGATCCCTTCGTACTGGGATGTTGATTTTCTGCTGAAGTCCTCCAATGGGGCTTGAATCTTGCAATGGGCTAAATGACCGACCTCTGCCACATTTTACGCTCTTGTGGCTCGTGCTGGAGGTTGACTCTGACTCTGGTTTGACATCCACACCAGACACTGGAAATTGACAATAGGTTTCAAACCCTGAACCTTCTGACCCAGTGACTTGAGGGCTACCAAAGGCAGGCTCACTTAAGATTAGAGAGTGACAGAGCAGGACTGAGAAGGCAGGCAAATGTTCCTTAACCTGAATAAAAACCGAAAGAACTGCGGACGCTGTAAATCAAACAAAAACAGAAGTTGCTGGAACAGGTCTGGCAGCATCTGTGAAGAAAAATCAGCATTTCGGGTCTGGTGACCCTTTCTCAGAACCTTTCCTCCTGAGGAAGGGTGACCAGACCCAAAACGCTAACTCTGATTTCTCTTTGCAGACACTGCTGAGCTTTTCCAGCAAGAACTTCTGTTTTTGTGCCTTGAATCTGACCTGCCTGCAGACATTCGGGTGCCATAGCAAGCTAACTGTTGGACTGGATCCTAGTTGGGAGAGCATGACTCTCAGCATTACCTGCCTGCAAAGGCCCCTGGAGCCTCAGACATGCTTTTCTCTTCCTTCTCTCAGGAGCTGCCTAAGTACCTGCGCGGTTACCACAAGTGTTCCCGTGACGATGTGCTGCAGTTGGCAGCACTCATTTACAGGGTGAAGTTCGAGGATGACAAGTCCCAATTCCCAAACATTCCCAAGATGCTGAAGGAACTGGTGCCACAGGATCTGATCCGGCACTTCTCACCTGATGACTGGAAGCGGGTAAGAGATTATTCTTGAGTTTATTTTTTTTTTTTTTTTTTTACTGAGAACGGGAGAGTCACTTTTGCAGAACTCCACAATTTCACAGGACAGAAGCAGGCCATTCATCCCATTGTGTCTGTACTGGCTCCTGAAAGAGCTACCCATCTAGTCCCATTCTCCAGCCCTATCTCCATAGCCCTTTATATTCATCCCTTTTCAAATATATATCCTGCTCTCTCCTGAAACCTCCTATGGAATCCACCTCCACCACTATTGCAGGCAGCGCTTTCCAAATCCTAGTAACTCCAAGTAAAGAAATTTCTCCTCGTCTCACTCCTCGCTCTTTTGTTGACTACCTTGAAATTGCAACCCCTAGTTACTGACATTCCAGCTAGTCAAAATAGAATATCCTCCTTTTTACCCTGTCAAAATTTTGAATAATTTTGAACACCTACAAGGAGAATAAGCCCCAATCCTCCTCCCCTGCTATCATTGTAGTAAATCTCCTTTGCACTTTCTCTAGGCCTGTAACATCCTTCCTTAAATAAGGTGTCCAGAACTGAACACAACACTCCAAATGTGGTCTGACTGATGATATGTAGAGGTCTTGTATCACTACTTTGTTTTTATATTCTACGTCTCTGTTTACAAACCCAAGGATCCTAATAAGCTGGAATAGAATCTGTTTCAACCAGCCTGGTCACCTTCAGAAAATTACACACTTGAGCCCTGAGGCCAGCCTCTGCTCCTGTACTCTCCTCAAAGTTGTACTGTTTTGAGCCTGTATTCTCCCTCTTACCCAAATGCATTACCTCCCATTTCTCATTCAATTGTTGCCCCTAGAAGGTATCGTCACCTGCCTTGTGGCTTGCCAGGCCACTTCAGAGGGCAGCTAGGAGTTAACCACGTTGTGGTGTATTGTAGGGTGTTTGTATTGTCTAGAATGGGGGAGGATAATGGGCGACGTTTGTTAGAAACATCATCAAATCTGACAGTTTTGATGAGGCAGGGTAGTGGTCATGTCACTGGACTAGTAATCCACAGGGCCAGGTTCAGGCAGCTGATGGAATTTACCCTTCGTTAATAAAGATTGGAAACTGAATGCCAGCCTCCTAAAGGGGCTGCTTTTGATATATAGCTTGATGCTGTGCTGAATTTGGATTTTGACCAGATGGGCCAAAAAACAGGCAGTGTGTCTTCATGTTTACTCTTCAAAGAGTAACATCATTTATCACATGTTACCACTAAATACTGCTATAGGTGGTAATTGTCCATGTAGACTTGGTGATGAGAAAGGCGTTTTAACATGTTTGTCTTCATTACTCGCTCCTTTTTGAGTTGGGATTTCATGTTGAGGTTGTATAGTGTTAGTGAGGTCTTTTTTTTTTTGAGTACTGTTTCCAGTTCTGGTTGCCCTATTATAGGAAAGGGCTCTGAAGAGATTTACCAGGATGTTGCTGGAACTGGAGGGTTGTAAGGAGGTGCTGAATAAGCTGGGACTACTTTCACTGGAGTGTAAGAGGTTGAGGGGTGACCTTTTATTGAGGTTCATAAAATCACGAGGACTATAGATGAGACAAACAGTATGTGTTTTGTTTATTCCCAAGGGTGGGGAAGTTCAAAACTAGGAAGCATCTTTTTGAGGTGAGAGGAAAAAGGATTTTAAAAAGCAACGAGGGGCAATTTTTTTTTTGTGTGGTTCAAGTGGAATGAACTTCCAGAGGTGGTGGTGGATGCGTGTACAGTTACAACATTTTAAAAGGCATTTGGATAAGTTCTTGAATAAGAAATGTTTAGAGGGATATGTGCCAAGCGCAGGCAGGTAGGACTAGTTTAGTTTGGGATTATGGACTGGTTGAACCGAAGGGTCTGTTTCTGTGCTGTATAATTCTGTTACATCGCAAAGCTGCTCCAGGTTCCTGTTTTGTGACTGGTAAATAGTGAGGAGGCTAGCCTTGGATTACAGGAGGATATAGATGGCCTGGTCAGTGACAAAATTCAATCCGAGTAAATAAGAGGTAATACACACTTGGTAGGACTGACAAGGCATGGGAATACATGATAAACTGTAGGACCCTGGGAAGGGTCCCTTAAGGTATCAGGACAGGGGGATAAAGTGGTTAAGAAGGCATATGGATTCTTGCCTTTAGCTGAGGTATAGAGTTAACCACAGGAAGGTTATGGTGGAAATGTATAAAACATTTGTTAGGCCACAACTAGAGTATCGTGTGCTGTTCTGGAATCCACATTTTATAGCAGGGATGTGACAGCACTGGGGAAGATGCACAGGAGATATACCAGAATGTTGCCTGGGCTGGAGAGTTTCAGTTGTGAAGAGACTGGGGTTGTTTTTCCTTTAGAGTTGTGGAGGTGGAGATGGATAAAATAGAGGGACATGGGGTAGACAGGAAGGAATGTTCCTTAGAGGGATCGGTGATCGGGGACATGGAGTTCAAGGTAAAGAGCAGGAGGTTAAAAGGGGATGTGAAAAATTTTTGTTTTCACCCAGTGATGGGAATCTTGGAACATTGAACAAGCGTTTAGATGCCAAGGTATGTAAGACTATGGACAGAGTGGTGGAAAATGGGATTAGAATAGTTAAGCAGTTGTTTTTTGATCTGCACAGACTCAATGGGCCGAGTGGCTGAAGCTCTCGATGGCCTTGCAAAACTGCACCTATTACAACAATCAGTGATTGTCAGGAAAACCTGACTGGTTGACTAATGTCCTTCATGGACCTTCTTTCCAATCTGCCCTACATGTTGCTGTGGGTCTAGAGTCACGTGGTTGGCTCTTGTCTTCCCTCTGAAATCCTCCAGCAAGCCACTCGGTTCAAGGACACTTAGAGATGGACCAATGAATGGTGACCATGGGAGACAATGGCCCAGTGGTATTATCACTAGACAATTAATCCAGAGACCAAGTAATGTTCTGAGGACCTGTGTTGAAATCCTGCTGTGGCAGATGGTGTGGCAATTTGAGTTCCGTTTTTTTAAAAAAAAAATGGGTTTAAGAGCCTTAAAAACCCATCTGGTTTACTAATGTCCTTTAGGGAAGGAAACTGCCATCCTTACCTGGTCTGGCCTACATGTGACTCCAGACCCTCAGCAATGTGGTTGACTCTGAACTGCCCTCTGGGCATTGGGCCCATATGCCATGAATAAATAAGTAAAACTTTGCGATGTCCTTATCCTATTCACGAATGAAAAAGAATTTGCCTGTGACAGCGCAGCACTCCCTCAGTACTGCCCCAGCAGAATCAGTCCTGATCTTGCACTCTGCTTCCTGAAGTGGTCACTTCAACTCACCAAGAGTTGTGTTTTGGACCCATTAGAGTTCAACACAGAACTCCATATAGTACTCGGTTCAATACTGTCAACAAGGAGATGAGTTTAATCAAGACTGTCCATCTGCCTGAGTAGATGGGTCATGAACAACTTTAATGGATAGATTGCTGGGCGGCACGGTGGCTCAGTGGTTAGCACTGCTGTCTCACTGTTTCCTCTGGGTGCTCCGGTTTCCTCCCACAGTCCAAAGATATACAGGTTAGGTAGATTGGCCATGGCAAATGTAGGTTACAGGGATAAGGTAGATTTATGGGTTTGGGTGCGATGCTCTTCAGAGGGTCGGTGTGGACTTGATGGGCCAAATGGCCTGTTTCCACACTAGGGATTCTGCTAGGCTTGGGGGATCAAACAGGCTAAAGGACCTTCTCAACACAAGTAGTGGCCATGTGACTACTTATTGACATTTCCTGTGGGATCTGAATGTACAACTAATTTGTTCTCTCTTTTTTTGAACACAAGTCCATTGTAGCTTTTTACAACAAACAAGCAGGAAAATCACAGGAAGATGCTAAACTATCGTTCCTGAAGATTATCTATAAATGGCCTACGTTTGGATCAGCATTTTTTGAGGTCAAGGTAAGGGACTGCCTGTCTGTACTTTTATTTCATTCGCACGAAGATGACATGTTGGAAGAGCAACAAAATAAAAAATCCGGACCATAAACTGACGACCCTCCAGAATCTTTTATCTGCCCATGATTCAGGATTTGAGTTCTGATGCAGACGGCCATTTGTCCTGTTGTCTTCACCAGCTCTTCAAACGAGCACCATTGACTTCTACCAATTTCCTGTCTTACCCCCATCCCCTTGCGCATTGTGCTGCAGAGACACAGGCGCACACACTCTCGGATGGATGCATGCACGCACACCAGCACTGGAGCAAAAACAGAAGTTGCTGCAAAAGCTCAGCAGGTCTGGCAGCTCTTGCGAAGAAAAATTAGAGTTAACATTTCCAGTCCGGTGACCCTTCCTCGGAAGTTTTTACCAGCGTTGGAGTGTTGTTTTGAAAGCGAGATGTGGGATGGATTTAGATTTCAGTGGCACTATTGACCAGGATGCAGAAGCAAGAGGAGTAGCTCACTTCAAGCTGGAGACCTGTTCCAGGAAAGCCTCGCCATGGTAACCAGTGTAAGCACACACTTAGTGTGCTTCATATGCACTGACTGAGAGGACGAAGAGGGTGGTTGTACCTAGACTCTGAACAGTACAGCATGGAAACAGACCATTTGGTCCGACCATGGTCCCATACTAAACTAGTCCTGCCTGCCTGCGTTTTAACCCATTTCCTTCCAAACCTTTCCCATTCATGTACTTATCCAAATGTCTCTTGTAACCACCACTTCTTCCTCTGGCAGTTCAATCCACACACAAACCACTGGTTTTTTATTTTAAAAAGTTGCCCTTCATGTCTTTTTTAAGTCTTTCTCCTCTCACCTTAAAATTATGCCCCATAGTTTTCCCACCCTAGAGAAAAAGCCATTCACCTTATCCATGCCCCTCATCGTTTTATAAACATCTATACAAGATCACCCCTCAACCTCCTACGCTCCAGTGAAAACAAGTCCCAGCCTATCCAACCTTTCCTTATAACTTAAACCTTCCAGTCTTGCTAACATCCTTTGAAATCTTTTCTGCTCCCTTTCCAGTTTAATAGCATCCTTCCCATAGAACTGTGCACAGTACTCCAAAAGTAGCCTCCCCAACATCCCATACAACTGCAACATGACGTCCCAACTTACTCGCCTTTCATTCCTTCCCTTTGTCTCTCACGAGCCCTTCCCTCTTGTTTGTGCTTCTGTCTTCCTTTTTTTTTAAACCAAGCATTGAATGATATTTGACTGTCATTCCGTTTCCCTTGTGCTTTCTAAACAGCAAACCACTGAGCCAAATTACCCAGAGATCCTCTTGATTGTGATCAACAAACACGGAGTGAGTCTGATTGACCCGAAGACAAAGGTAACTTTTCTATCTTTTCTCGCTCTTCCTCTCTTCCTCCACTCCCCCCACCCCCTCAAATGACCTGAAAGCTAGGCTGGTGATTAGATCTAACTAGTGACAACCAGTGTTGTGTAAACCTTTGACAGCAACCTGTTGTTCGGTGAATGTGCCAATATTGTGTCCACCATCCCCTCTTTCTGGTTTGTTGTGGGAACCTGCTACATAAAGTCCAGATACAAATCAGTAAGTCTCCAGACAACTAAACAATTGCGGGTCGCCAAGCATAGATGGGCGAACAGTGTATATATTCGAAGCTATAGATTGAGCGCAGTAGGGCAGCACGGTGGCTTAGTGGTTAGCACTGCTGCCTCACGGTGCTAGGGACCCGGGTTCAATTCCACCCTTGGGTGACTGTGTGGAGTTTGCAAGTTCTCCCCGTGTCTACGTGTGTTTGCTTCGGTTTCCACACAGTCCAAAGTTGTGCAGTCTAGGTAGATTGACCATGCTAAATTGCCTGTAGTGTGCAGGAATGTGTAGATTAGGAGGGGTTATAGGGGGTTAGGTCCGGGTTGGATGCTTTGAGGGTTGGTATGGACTTATTGGGCCAAAGGGCCTATTTCCACAATGTAGGGATTCTGAGTAACGTAGGAAATAGAGCTATGCTTTTATTTTATATAAAGGAGATACGTTCTATACATTGATTTGCCACACAGCTTATATCACGTCAGCACCGTCAACTCTTAATATTGAAACCTTGAACATAGGTATAGGCCATTCAGCCCTTCAAGACTGCTCTCCATTTGTTATGATCATGGCCAGATCATCTAACTCATCCTGCTCCTGCATTTTCCCCATACTCTCTGACCTCTCTAGCCCTAAGGATTGTAAAATAAACTTGAGCTGCTGCTGCTCAAAATGCACTGAAATTTATTCTAAAGTGTCACTTGAACTTCTTGTAAAATTGTTACCGGCATTTGTCGGACCGTTTTAAAGCTTGAAAATAAAAGAAACATGTTAACGTGAGGACATGTGGTAAAGGGGCCTGCCTTACTGGTGCAGTGGTAATGTCACTGCATTAGCAGTACAGGTTGATGTTCTGGGGACACCGGTTTGAATCCCACCATGGCAGATAGTGGAATTTGAATTCTATAAAAATCAAGGATAAAAAGCTAGTCTTGTGGTGACCATGTTAATGTTCAGGAAAAACCCATTTGGTTGACTAATGTCCTTTTTTTAAGGGTAGGAAATCTGTCCTTACCTGGTCTGGTCTACTTGTGACTCCAGACCCAGAGCAATGTGGTTGACTCTGGGCAGTTAGGGATGGGTAACAATGGTCAGTGATGGCCACATCCCATGAATGAAAAATAAATAAATCTATTCTAACACTACAATGCCCACTCTGTATAACTTTGCATCATAATGTTTATTTTGTTCTTTCACTCACTCATGGGGTGTGTGACTACCATTTATTGGCTATCCACAGCTACTCTTCAGAATCATAGAAACTAGCGTGGAAGCAGCCCCTCCAAATAGCATCCCACCCAGACCCACCCCCCTCCCTATCCCTGTAACCCTGAATTTCCCATAGCCAATTCACCTAGCCTGCATGTCCAGAGCCCCCTGGAAGAAACCTGTACAGACACTGGGAGAGTGGAGGTTGCACAGTCACCTGAGGCTGGAATTGAACCCTGGTCCCTGGCACTGTGAGGCAGTAGTGCTAACCACCGTGCCGCCCTTAGATGCAGATGAGCTGCCTCCTTGAACTGCTACACGTGCTGTGGGTTGAGCCACAAGGCAGGGAATTCCCAGGATTTTGACCCAGTGACACTGAAGGAATGGTGATACATTTCCAAGTGGCTCGGAGGAGACTTGCAGGGGGTGGTGTTCCCATGTATCTGCTGCCTTTGTCCTTTTTGATGGAAGTGGTCGTGGGTTTGGAAGGCACTGTCTAAAGAGCCTTGGTGAATTTCTTCAGTGCCTCTGCTGCTACTGAGTTTTGGAGGGAGTGAATGTTTGTGGATGTAGTACCAGTCAAATGTGCTGCTTTTCTCCTGGATGGTGCCAAATGACTTGAATTGTCTTGGAATGTTCTTTCTTCTCAGCCTGTTGCTTTTGAGACCCGCAAGTGTTGCGTGATCCAAGGAGTTGCTGATCTATTTGTAGACTTTATATAGGACCCTCGCCCCCCCCCCCCCCTCACTAAAGGGTGGGACAGGGGACAGTCATTCAGATTTGGTCTTTCCCTTGGACCGATCTGATTGTAGCTGATTTTTTTTTTAAATAACGAAGAGTTAAAATTATTCTCCTGCACAAACCAAAGTGTTGATGGATGCCTATCTACAAAAGCTATTTGATAGAGTAGAAGTCTAGGAGATGTTTCAAATTGTAGAGGTAAACCAAAACTACAAGCTGTGAATAAAAACTGGTCCGTAATAAATCTGATTGGGCAAACAGGAGAAGTTGGAATTTGCTCCATATTGTGGTTGAGATGGATAGTGTAGATGCATTTAACAGAATTTTAGATGATCCCACGGAAGAGAAAGTAAGCAAAAGCGTGTGTTGAGGGGGTTGGGTGAAGAAGAGAGGGGGCATAATGTGGCCATCAACCATTTGGCCTTGCTGCCCTGTTTCTATTCTCTATAATTCAATTTTAATTGTGTTCAGTAGGGTAATGAATTAGAAGATATTGACCCAGCATCTGAACAGAAACCTGTAAATGGGGTGAGGGTGTTGTTAGATTTTATACGACCATTTGACATGGATCAGAAGTAGGCCATTCAGCCCATTTGAGTGTGCTCCATGCCATCAGTGAGATTATGGTTGATCTGATAATCCTCAGCTGCACTTTCCTGCCTTTTTTCCCTTTAATTTCCATAGGAATTAAAAACCTGTCTGTCTCAGCCTTGAAGACACTTAATGATAGGCCATGCAGCCCATTGAGGGTCAGAAAAGAGAAGATACTGATCCACCATGTTAAGAGAAACAGCTGTATTTGACCATGTCAGGGTGATGTGAAACCCAGAGGTGAAGTTCAGGCAGCTTTGCTGCTCTATCCTTTAGTGAGGGGGGGGAAAGGACATGGAGACATTGAAAAACCATCCCATTTCTGACTTCTTGCAATGTACCCTGTAGATATTTATGCGCGGCATTGCAAAGGGAATGAATGTTGACTGGCTAACCTTGTTATACTAATTTTATACAACATGAACTTTTGAATATTACATTTCAATCCTGGCCTCCCTGCTATAGGAAAGATGTCCTGAAACTTGAAAGGGTTCAGAAAAGATTACAAGGATATTGCCGGGGTTGGAGGATTTGAATTAAAAGGAGGAGCTGAATAGGCTGGGGCTATTTTCCTTGGAGCATCAGAGGCTGAAGAGTAACCTTAGAGGTTTATAAAATCATTGAGGGCCATGGATAGGGTGAATGGTCAGGTCTTTTTCCCCCAAAGTAGGGAGAGTCTAAAACTAGAGGGCATAGGTTTGAGGTGAGAGTGGAAAGATTTGAAAAGAACCGGAGGGACAATGTTTTCACGCAGAGGGTGGTGCGTGTATGGAATGAGCTGCCAGATGAAATGGTGGAGGCTGGTACAGTTACACGTTTTAAAAGGCATCTGGATGGGTACATGAATAGGAAGGGTTTAGAGGGATATGGGCCAAATGCTGGCAAATGGGACTAGATTAATTGAAGATATCAAGTTGGCATGGATGTGTTGGACCAAGGGGTCTGTTTCCGTGCTGTACAGCTCTCACTCTGTGACTTTTTTTTCTTTTTCTCTTCAAGGATATTCTTACCACCCATCCATTCACCAAGATTTCTAATTGGAGCAGTGGTAACACCTACTTCCATATTACCATTGGGAACCTGGTGAGAGGCAGCAAGCTCCTATGTGAAACCTCTCTGGTAAGCATTACTCGACCTTTACACAATGCTTGCTAAGTTTTGAAAACTGGAATTTGCCCAAAACTGTACCGGCTCTTGCAATTGATCCCATTCACCTTTCGCCCCTGTTGTGTATGTTGACTCAAAGAACAAAGAAAATTACAGCACAGGAACAGGCCCTTCGGCCCTCCAAGCCTGCACCGATCCAGATCCTCTATCTAAACCTGTCGCCTATTTCCAAGGATCTGTATCCCTCTGCTCCCTGCCCATTCATGTATCGGTCTAGATACATCCTAAATGACGCTATCGTGCCTGCCTCTACCACCTCTGCTGGCAACGCGTTCCAGGCACCCACCACCCTCTGCGTAAAGAACTTTCCATGCATATCTCCCTTAAACTTTTCCCCTCTCACCTTGAAATCGTGACCCTAGTAATTGAGTCCCCCACTCTGGGGGGGAAAAAGCTTCTTGCTATCCACCCTGTCGATACTTCTCGTGATTTTGTAGACCTCAATCAGGTCCCCCCTCAACCTCCATCTTTCTAATGTAAATAATCCTAATCTACTCAACCTCTCTTCATAGCCAGCGCCCTCCATACCAGGCAACATCCTGGTGAACCTCCTCTGCACCCTCTCCAAAGCATCCACATCCTTTTGGCAATTTAGCGACCAGAACTGTACGCAGTATTCCAAATGTGGTCAAACCAAAGTCCTATACAACTGTAACATGACCTGCCAACTCTTGTACTCATACTTGAAAGCATGCCGTATGCCGCCTTGACCACTCTATCCACCGGCGTTGCCACCTTCAGGGTACAATGGACCTGAACACCCAAGTCTCTCCGTGCATCAATTTTCCCAGGGCTTTTCCATTTACTGGATAGTTCACGCTTGAATTGGATCTTCCAAAATGCATCACCTTGCCTTAGCCTGGATTGAACTCCATCTGCCATCTCTCCAATCTGTCTATATTCTGCTGCATTCTCCGACAGTCCCCTTCACTATCTGCTACTCCACCAATCTTGGTCTGATTAGCAAGTTTGCAGATGACACTATCTACACCTTCCTCCAGGTCATTTATGTATATTACAAACAACAGTGGTTCCAACACAGATCCCTGTGGAACACCACTGGTCACAGTTCTCCATTTTGAGAAACTCCCTTCCACTACAACTCTGTCTCCTGTTGCCCAGCCAGGTGTCTATACATCTAGCTAGTACACCCTGGACCCCATGCGACTTCACTTTCTCCATCAACCTACCATAGGGAACCTTATCAAACACCTTACTGAAGTCCATGTATATGACATCTACAGCCCTTCCCTCATCTATCAACTTTGTCACTTCCTCAAAGAATTCTATCAAGTTGGTAAGACATGACCTTCCCTGCACAAAACCATGCTGCCTATCACTAATAAGCCCATTTTCTTCCAAATGTAAATAGATCCTATCCCTCAGTATCTTCTCCAGCTTCCCCACCACTGACGTCAGGCTCACAGGTCTATAATTACCTGGATTATCCCTGCTACCCTTCTTGAACAAGGGGACAACATTAGCAATTCTCCAGTCCTCCAGGACCTCACCCGTGCTCAAGGATGCCCCAGCTATTTCCTCTCTCGCTTCCCTCAGTAACCCGGGATAGATCCCATCCGGACCTGGGGACTTGTCCACCCTAATGCCTTTTAGAATACCCAACACTTTTTTCCTCCCCGCCCTTATGCCGACTTGACCTAGAGTAGTCAAACATCTATCCCTAACCTCAACATCCGTCATGTCCCTCTCGGTGAATACCAACGCATTAAGAATCTCACTCATATTTCTGACTCCTCGCATAAATTCCCTCCTTTTGTCCTTGAGTGGGCCAACCCTTTCTCTATTTACCCTCTTGCTCCTTATGTACGAATAAAAGGCTTTGGGATTTTCCTTAACCCTGTTTGCTAAAGATATTTCATGACCCTTTTTAGCCCTCTTAATTCCTCGTTTCAGATTGGTCCTACTTTCCTGATATTCTTCCAAAGCTTCATCTGTTTTCAGTCACCTAGACCTCGTGTGTGCTTCCTTTTTCCTCTTTGTTAGTCCCACAATTTCACCTGTCATCCATGGTTCCCTAATCTTGCCCTTTCTATCCCTCATTTTCACAGGGACATGTCTGTCCTGCACTCTAATCAACCCCTCTTTAAAAGCCTCCCACATATCAAATGTGGATTTACCCTCAAACAGCTGCTCCCAATCCACATTCCCCAGCTCCTGTCGAATTTTGCTGTAGTTGGCCTTCCCCCAATGCCTGCTCTTCCTTTAGGACCACTCTCTCGTCTTTTGTCCATCAGTGTTCTAAAACTTACGGAATTGTGATCACTATTCCCAGAGTAATCCCCTACTGAAACTTCATTCACCTGGCCGGGCTCATTCCCCAACACCAGGTCCAGTATGGCCCCTTCCCGAATTGGACTATTTACATACTGCTTTAGAAAACCCTCCTGGATGCTCCTTACAAATTCTGCTCCATCTAAACCCCTAACACTAAGTGAATCCCAGTCAATATTGGGAAAACTAAAATCTCCCACCACCACCACCACCCTGTTGCTCCTACATATTTCTGTAATCTGTCTACATATTTGTACTTCTATCTCACGATCGCTGTTGGGAGGCCTGTAGTACAGCCCCAACATTGTTACCGCACCCTTCCTATTTCTGAGCTCTGCCCATATTGCCCTCCTTCAGTACAGCTGTGATATCCTCTTTGACCAGTAATGCAACTCCTCCACCCCTTTTACCTCCCTCTCTATCCTGCCTGAAGCATCTATATCCTGGGATATTTAGTTGCCAATCTTGCCCTTCCCTCAACCAAGTCTCAGTAATAGCAATAACATCATACTCCCGGGTACTAATCCAAGCCCTAAGTTCATCTGCCTTACCTACTACACTTCTCGCATTAAAACAAATGCACCTCAGACCCCTGTCCCTCTGCATTAATCATCTGCTCTCTGCCTACTCTTCCCCTTAGTCACACTGACTTCATTATCTAGTTCCTTACAGGCTTTAGTTACTACCTCCTTACTGTCTACTAACCACCTCATTTGGTCCCCATCCCCCTGCCACATTAGTTTAAACCCTCCCCAACAGCATTAGCAAAAGCAGCCCCTCGGACATTGGTTCCAGACTCCTAATCCATCAAGCCCTCCATTGTCAAATTCCCAACCTTGTTTTCAAATTCCTTACTACCTTAAATTTTCTTCAACTCTACAACTTTCTGCAATCTATGTTCTTCCAACTCTGGACACATCTCCTTCCCCATCCCTGCATCGTTGGTGGTAGTACCTTCAACTGTGTACATCCTTAACTCTGGAATTTCTTTCCTAAATCTTTCTACTTTGGAAGCCCTCTTTTTGTTGTTGAAATTGCATCTTGTTTGTTAACTCTCCTATGAAACCACTCGGTATGGCTAAAGGTGCTATACAAATGCAAGCTGTCTACTGCAGAGTTTGGCTGGTGATGAGTCAAGTTACCACCTGTCCAATTTGATGCTAGGCTCATTTTCTTTTTCCCAAGTCTTTTGAGAAAATTATGACCTGCACATCTCCCATAGTTCCTCCAATTTACCTTGTCCTCTGAGACTTGTAAAACACTTTTAACAGCAAACCACACAATAATGATGTTGAACCCTACAAAGACCGAGTTCAGCCTTTTCAAAAGGTGACAACTGTCAATACGGAGTACATAACTGGACCAGTAACACCTCAATAGAACGTAGTTTGTGAAACATCTGTGAAACTACTCTTAAAGTCTTGTCACTCAGAACAGTACAGCACAAGAACAGGTCCTTCGGCCCACCATGTCTGGGCTGACTGATACCACTCTTAAACTATTCCCATCTGTCTGCACATGGTCAAGCAGGGAATAGAGAGAAATGGATCGTGTGTCTAAGCGCCTCTTAAACGTTGCTATTGCATCTGCTTCTACCACCTTCCTGGCAGTGTGTTCCGAGCACCTACCATCCTCTGCGTTTTTAAAAAAAAAAACGTGCCTTGCACATTGTCTTTAAACCTCCTCCTTTCACCTTGATGAAGAAGGGCAGGTGGAGCATGAGCACTAGTGTGGGCTATGGGCTGAATGGCCTGATTTTTGGGTCACAGACTAAGGATACAGTGCAGGCCATTGGGACTGAGATGAGGAGAAATCTTTTCACCCAAAGAGTAGAGAGCCTGTGGAATTATCTAACACACAAGGCTTTTGAAGCCAGAAAGAGTTGGATATAGTTCTTGGGGCCAAAGAGATCAAAGGGTTTTAGGAGAAAGCAGGAACAAGGTACTGAGTTGGATGATCAACCACGATCCACTGAATGGTGGAGCAGGCTAGAAGGGCTGATTAGCTTACACCTGCTCCTATTTGTTTTGAATGCCATTCGGGCTTCAACTGCAATTTTTTTGTTTTGAGGTGTATCTTTCTTTCTTTCCATTTAATAGACAAAACTCTTGTTTTCCTCCCAACAGGGATACAAAATGGATGACCTATTGACGTCTTATATCAGTCAGATGCTGACGTCTATGAACAAGCAGTGGAGCACTAAAGCCAGTAAGTGAACTTACTTTGACTACTGGATCTGGGCCAACGAGGTGATCCAACTTCTGAGGCCTGTGGGAAACCCTTGCAGTTGGACAAAAACATTCTCCACCCAAGTCTGGAGTATGAGAAGGAGCCCTCTGCAAAGTTCTTCCGACAGCAGCCCAGACTCTCCCTCCAGTGAGGATGACTATTTGTAGTGTGCGCGTTTGCTTGTGCATGTTTTGAAACACTTAACTTTAGGGTCGCTCAAATGGAAAATGAACTAAAAGGAAACAGAAAATTAAGGCCTACAAAGCGGGCTTCTTCATTGTGACTTCTTACTCCGACAGTGGAAAACCAGGCCTACAAAGTAGGCTGCTTCATTGTGACTTCTTCCTCGGATGAAAGAAATCCGAGCCTACAAAACAAGATTCTTAATTGTGGCCTCTTCCCCTGACACAGGAAATCTAGGCATATAAAGCAGGCTTCTTCATTGTGATCTCTTCCTCTGATGGAAATCCAGGCCTACAGTGTAGGCTTTTAGTGACCTCTCATTCCAAAGAAAGGAATTCCAGGCCTACAAAGGAAGCTGCTTTTTTTTTTTTTGCAATCTCTTCTGCTGCACTCATTCTGCTACGTCCTTTCTCAAAGAGTCAATTCATTTTTGGTTTTTTGATGCCTGTGGTGTAGCTTCTGTGTAACTGTGGCCCAGATTACTGGCAGTGCATCAAATCTGTGTGGTCATTCTCACTAACTGTGGTAGTGGGCCCAAAGATAGCAGCTGGTCACTGCCTTGCTGTGGCCCATGGGTAAAATTCCTGCCTTCGGAAGAGTCCGTGGTCTAGTTGTGCACAGTTGGAGCCCCCAATGCAAAGGCCCCTGTTTGTATATTTGGTGAAACGACTGGACTCCCTCCAAATGCAAAGGAATTGTTTGCATGTGAGGTGTTTGTTTTTCTGTGCTTGTTGTAGTCTTTATCATCTAACCTGTCTCCTCCTCATGCACCTCCAGCTGTTTCTGTGTGCAGCTAACTTATTTGAAGTGCATACATTTTCTTAAAACCTAAGAAAACTGACCTCCTGTAAACAGAGGGTGTCTGCTGTGGGTTAATTACCGGATTAACCATAGGATCATATTATTGTCCCTCACCTTCATAGCCACTTGGGATTATGCATCGATGGGTCACTGCTTTGGCTTGTTCACTTCTCATCTTTAATCTCTGCACCAAAATAAAACAGTGTGTTAGTCACGTTACCCCCTAGAACAGGTTTTGCAGTTAGCATTTGGAGGATTGCTTTTGCCCTCAGTGCTCCTTTTCCATTACCCAGCCCCACTCTTAGGCTCCTGTCCCATTACCAGAAAATACCCATTGTTGAAATTTCAACTCGTGGTTTTTAACCTGAACCATTTGCTGGATAACTTTTTGGAAATTGTCTGCGTGTCTGGTTTGTAATTCTTGCAGTCAGAGTTTCACAAAACCCAATTACTTGTTTTCCCCCTCCACTGGGTTTGCCCTAACACTAATAAAGCTGTATGTCATTGGCTGGCAGCGAGTCTGTCCCTGAGCACACCTCACAAGAAATGACTGGGAATGCTCAAGTCAGATGTCTGTGGAGAGACGGCAGGTTGGTGCTACATAGGTGGTGGAGCCTTCTGCGTACTGACAAAAGATCCACATCTTAAAGCATCTTTTTCTTTTCACTGTCTGTCTCTTCCCTCACCCCCCCCCCCCCTTTTTTTCTCTCCCTCTCTTTCTCCCCCTTTTTTTTTCTCTCTCTCTCTCTCTCTCTCTCTCTCTCTCTCTCTCTCTCTTTTCTCTGCACCGCCCTCTTCCCCGGGGACTCACTCAGACTGGGCCTGTCCATCACAAACAGCAATGATGTGCCAGCTTCTGATTGCTGCCAAGCCATGCTGCCTTGCGTACTCCAACCAATCTACCTTTAACCCCAGTGAATGGGTGCAGCTTTGTTTATAAACAATATCAGCTGAAACGCTGCTTGCAAATTTGGCTGAGGTCCAGTGTTTAAATTTTCAACAGAGAACTTGTCGGATTGACTTGGCTCAGCAGTCGCTCCGAACAAAGGGAACAAAATCCTTTAGCTCCAAGTGCCCGAGTCCCATTCAACTTTGGGCTCTCACTTCCACTGCCACTGTGCCTTTTATAAGCAAAATAGATTCTATTTTAATCACATTGGCATTCCTTTGCCTAAAGGTAGGGAGTCATTTGGTTAGAAGTAAAACTAGCTGTGGGTGATTGGCTCCATGTCTTGTAGTTACATTGTCTCTATATAACTGCAACATTTAGAATGTTATTTCTTAACCTACTCTGTGAGTCAGTTTTAATAGTGGGTGAAAATGTTTCGATTAATCGTGTCCTTTTTTAAATGACCATTGTTGAGTCAATACACAGTTTTATCACAAGGGATAATTGGTCTGCTCCCCTTTTTTTGTTTTGGTTCTTTTCCTCTCCCAGAACATCCATGATACCACCAACTTGCAGCCACTTCCTAACCTGCTGCCACCCTCCCTGTGTACAGATTCCAGTCTGCTATCATGCTGCACCAAAAACTGGGATTTCACAACTGGTCTCTATCTCTGTGATTTTAACCATATCCCAGATGACTCATGGAGTTTTGGTTTGTTTTTGTTGAGTTCAAGCAGTTTGTTTTTTCCTGTTGTTGGAGGCTGCAGGGACGTTATTTCCCTCCTCTTGCTGCAGTCTCCGCAGCTGTCCCTAGTCCTTGTGTTTTTGTCAATCTTCGGGGTTTTTCTGCCCAGCTCGTAATGCCTCGGTTATTGCTGCCAACTCATTCTGAAGTGGGTCTCAAGCTCAGGAGATGCTGTCTCTTTGTTTGATTGGCCTTCCCAGAAAGATTGATTTAACGCTGACCACAAGGGTGCACCACTGAGCCTGCTGGTATTACTCCTAAAATGCTTGCAAATGCTATGGGGACTCTCTCTCTCTCTTTCTGGTTGAATGGGATGCAAGAGGGACACTGTACTTGGAATAAGGCCACATTAAAACTATATTGGCTACCATACAGTGGCTTGAGAGTCAGATGCTGTAGTTCCAGTGCTAGTTATTCTGGTGTCTCCTGTCTGACCCCAGTAACCAAGGAAGTAAAGGTGTGTTGTTTTTTACCAGAGCAGGTCTAAATGGGTTAGAATGAGAGAAGCATAAAAGATACAACGTATGCTGTAACCTACAGTGATTAAATCAGTCAAATGTTGGTGCACAGGGTAGGATTTATGCTAGTATTTTAGAGTCTGTGTTGAGTATAAATGCACTTCTTTCCTATGAAAGTGTTGCATTAATTTTTCTGTCCTGCTCCATTCAAAGGGGTCCATGCTCAGTAGTGCCATTCTACATGGATTGGGGAGACTGGAGGAAGGAAAAAGTTTGTGTAACACAGCATTCCCCTGTCCTACCCTGGTGACATCTCAGTGAGGAAAAGTACTGAACTTGTTTGCGTGCTTTCGTAACCAAAAAAATGCGGGTCTTTTAATAAAAGACTTTACTGTGGTGACGGTCTCTTTGTATTGAGACAGAAAAGGCTGGATGCCAAATGGCTATGATGGTTTCCCATTTCCACCTGCCTGTAGCTAACATGACCTGTTGACCATCTCTACTTCTCAAATCACTTCGCAACCAGTCCCTGGCCTTGGGAAAGGATTTGATGTTACACTGCCCACCTTTGATTCACTTGTATAATAGTTGTGGTGTGTGTGAGAGAGAATGTTTGGTGAGGTTTACATCACAGGGCCCAGCCTAATGTGTGTGGAAAGGGGAGGAGGGCAGATCAGTGACAGCTTGGAGCAATACTAATGTATAATGTAATGAGGGCTGGAGCTGATGAATTTTGGCATGCTTGAAATGTGACAGTGTATTAGCTCAAAGGTCATAAAAGCACAGTTCCTGTGAGTTTGCTGTTTATGCTCATTCCCTGCCTGTGATACCTGTAAAGCTGCACCAGAGACTGGTGTAGGGCTCGGAATAAACTTTAAAAGCCATTTTATTTTGTCGCCGGCCTCTTTTCCCATCTCCCTCCAATACATAATTCAGTGTAAATAAAAGAAACCATTTGTCTTTGACCATCACCTGGTATATGAACAATATATTTGTAAAAAAAGTTAATAAATGAACTGTTATATTGTGACTTTTTTTTTTAAAAAATGGTGAAACCAGTGTGGATGCATGGTTTGTGAGGTTAAATGCTAGTTCAAGACAGTTTGATTTTTCTCCCCATCCGGGGTAAAATACATTCGTGTGTCTAACGTTGTGTCTGCAGTTTGCATCTGTTTAAAGAGTGTATCACCTTGTGTATTAAATACCTGTGATCCATTGCCTTTGTCCCTTTTTGTGTGTGTGTGTGTATGTTCTAGGCTTTGTTGATGGGATCAGATTAGGAGGGGTGGGAGAAAGTTTGAGAAATGTAAAAATCAGCACCTACCTGATCCTGTCCTCTCTGCTCCACACGCGTGCACAGAATGTGTCCGTGTGCATTTGTCAGTAATTTCCATGATTTGTGTTGTCCTAGACTGGCTACCTGTGGGAATGTCGGAACAGCATTGGGATATTCAGTCCCTTTTAGACTGTTCTGCTATTCGGAGGGATCGAGGCTTATTTGTGACTTAATTCCACATGTAATTTACTTCAGTCTTTTGGGGATAGCAGGACAGAAAATTATTTGCTCACTCAGCAAGTGTGTGGTTGATGAGCAGCTGAAGAAATTGGCTAAAGTCAGTTGTGTTTGTAAAGGATACAAGAAGGAGCTGTAAAGTTTGGTATTCTGAGAGCGTGGCATTAGCTGCAATAGTGAGCTATTTTAATATAAAAATTGACATAGTTGGTTGATTTTATTGTCATGTGCATCTTTTCACAAAAGTGAAGTGTTGTATATGATGCAATGCAAAGGACTTTTCATTCCACACTTATTTCCAAATCATTGCACAGGGACAGCCCGAGATCTTTAAGCAAAGAAATATCTATCTACTATCTCCAAGGCACATGTCAGAAATGTTTCAGAAACTTCTCCCTTGCCTGGATGGATGCAATTTCAACAACATTCAGATGTTTCACCATCCTGTCATGGAAATATATCGCTGTTCCTTCAGCGTTGCTGGGTCAAAATTCTGGAATTCTCTCCCTAAGGCATGGACTGCAGTGGTACAGAAAAGCAGCTGACCTCCAACTTCTCAAGGGGCAACTAGGAATGGGCAATAAATGCCTGGGCTAGCCAACGACATCCAAATCCATGCCAAATGAACCCACTTGAGTGGCACTCCCTCCATCTAATTAAACATTTGCCCCTTTTTTGCCTGTTCAAGACTGAGTTTTGACACCAGTTCCTAGTGTTTTTTGTTTTTAATTTTAATTTAACCTATCTTTCTAATCCACCTGTAGAGGGTTCCAGACACACATCTGGAACAGTTGGGACTTGAACCTGGGCCTTCAGGTCCAGGGCTAGGGACACTACCACTGCACCTCCAAGTAACCCTTTCTGCTCCTATGATGCTGCTTAGCCTGCTGTGTTCATCCAGCTCTGCACCTTGTTGTTTCGGATTCTCCAGCATTGCAGTTCCTACTATCTCTGCCCCTGTCCTTAGTTGTTTTACTGTGTGGCTGGTTAAATGACTAAAAGGATCATTGAGTGAATTCTACTAGTTTATAAACACAGAACAAGAACAAAGTTGCTGGAAAAGCTCAACAGGTCTGGCAGGAAAGAAACAGCTAATGTTTCTGGTCCCGTGCCCCTTCCTCAGAACTGATGGTGGCTGGGAAAATGTCAGTTTATATGCAGAAAAAGAGGAGGGGGATGGGGTAGGGAATAAACGATAGGATAGAGCCTAAAGAGAGAGAAGAGCAGTTAGGTAGTAGCTAATGATCAGGCTAGGAGGGTGAATAGATGTTAATGGTGACTGTTAGTGACTAACAACAGGGGGTGTGTAATGGCAGGCTATGTGCTAACAAGGCCAGGTGTGTGGGGTGGGGGGCTGGCATTTAGGCCCTAAAATTATTGAACTCCTATTGAGTTCGGAGGACTGTAGGGTCGCCAAGTGGAAAATGAGGTGTTGTTCCTCCAGCTTGCATTGAGCTTTGCTGGAACACTGCAACAAGCCAGACACAGACGTTGGCCAGGGAATAGGGTGGTGTGTTAAAGTGGCAGGCAACTGGAAGCTCGGGGTTTTTTTTTGCGAGCAGAACATAGATGTTCTGCGAAGTGGTCACCCAATGTAGAGGAGACCACATTGTGAGCAGCGAATGTGGTAGACTAGCTTCTGGGAAGTGCAGGTGAAGTGTTGCTTCACTTGGAAGGTATGTTTGGGCCCTTGGATGGTGGGAAGGGAGGAGGTAAATGGGCAGGTGTTGCACCTTTGCTGGTTACAGGGGACGGTGCTGTAGGGCTGTTGGGGGTGAAGGATGCATGGACTAGGGTGTCCTGGAGGGAACGGTCCCTGTGGCAGGAGGACAAGGCAGGGGAGGGGAATATGTGTCTGGTGGTGGCAGAAATGGCAGCTGATGATTTACTGGGTTGGAGTTGCATATCACCATGGATCTATTTTGGAATGCAGGTTTCCCCTGCCCCTTAATGTGCCCTTGAGCCAATTGATATTGTAGCAGTTTTCTCTTTCCACATTTCTTTCAAGTTCTCAAACTGTCCTGGTGTCATTTAAGCTCTCATCCACTATCAACACCCTGGAACCACTGACCTGGTTGTAATCATTGTTACCACTGTTTGCTGCAGTTTTTTGTTTGTTACATTCTGTTTTACAGATACTGCTAATTTTTACCCATAATCAATGGCGCAACAAATTCAAGGAGCCATAGAGTCCCTGTATCTATATCTCTCTGTCTCTCTCGTGGTCAGTTTACCAAGTTTGTTTATTCTTCAAATTTGCCACCATTTTGAATGCATTTTTTTGCAATTCTCCGTGATGCCATCGGTTTTCTGCTATTTATCTTAAATCAGCACCACTTCCCCACTTCCCCACCTGCCATTGGAGGGTCTTTCTCACTATCTGTTTGATTCATGATGTGACAGATATAACAGTAAAGGCTCCATAGTCCTACAAAGCCCAATTGAGCTGCTCCCTTGCGAGCGAGAGATGAGTGGTGGAGATGGTTTAACCTGAGGGTCACCACATCTCCAGGTAAAGAGAGGTTGAGAAGGAGAATCCTTCTTTATTACCTTGGTCAGTGTGGGAATTAAATGTGTGTTGTTGATGTTCATTCTACATTGCAAACCAGTCATTCAGCCAAATGAGCTAACCACAAGTATACCATTGAATAGGAGGACTGGAGGATGGTGGGAGCCTATATTCATTGTGGAGGTTTTCTTCATTGTATGATCATAGAATCCCTCCACTGCAGAAAGAGGCCATTCAGTCCATTATGTGCACTAGCTTGCCAAAGAGCATCCCACCCAAACACTTCCTCCAATCCCCCTAAGCCCACACTTTCCATGGCTAACCCATCCAGCCTGCGCAGCCCTGGATGCTACAGGCAATTTAGCATAGCCAATCCACCTTAAGCTGCACATCTTTGGCCTGAGGATGGGAAGGTCGCTGCATTAGTAATCCAAAGCCTAAGATTGTGGGGATATGGGTTGAAATGCCATTGTGGCAAGCTTTAGAGTTTGAATTTGACTAACGTATCTGGATTTGAAAACTGGTAATGGTGGGTGTGAAACCATCATTAATCGTTGCAACAACCCATCTCATTGTTATAATCTCCTAGCAAAGGAAATGTGAGGCTAGACCCACAGGTTAACTCTTAATGGCCTTCCATGCTAAATTAGCAATTTTTTAAATTTTACCTATTTTTCTAATCAACCTGTTCAGAGATGTTATTACTCAGAGCAGCTAGGACTCTCAGGCCAGAGATAGGGACATTGCCACTGTGCCACAAGAGGGCCTGTAGTAATATCATTAAGTTATATGTGGCTGGGAACCACCTGTTCTAGGGATGGGCAATAAATGCTGTAGTAACACTTACAAACCACGAGCACGTAACAAAACACACTGACGCAATCTCGACTTTTCATTTTATTCTTAAATAAAACACTAAAGTCACTGCTTCCATTCTCTTCCCCCCTCCCACCAAGCTCCCCTCCACATTTGCACGTAGCTATTAAGATCAAACACAAGTCACAAAGTTAGTGCAGAAAGTTCCAGGGTTTGACTGCGGCTGCTGAAGATCGAGTGGAGATGGAAGGGCTTCCCCCCACCCCCGACACGGCTGACTCTTTGCTGCCCCTCCAAGTGGCGTGGTCGGCCAATCCCTCGCCTAGTGTGCCATTTTCTCACTAGCCACTTAAGAGATGAACGAATGATGTCAGCCCTGTCAGTGACCCACTTATCGCGAGTGAATTGAATCACAAGATCAATTCAGTGGGTCCTTGATCTGCCCGAGTACAATGAGGGAACTTCCAGTTAGTGGACTCCCAAAGCCAGCGATGCTGGGGAAAGGATGCAAATGGATGTCACTTTTTCCATTTGTGTGTATGTGTGGGGGGGGGGGGGGTGGGATGTTACCATTCCTCCTCTCTCCCACTGCTATCTCCACCCCCGCAACTACACCCTGACAACACCTTCCATTTATTTTCTAACTGCTGGTCAGGCAAGGCCAATGGCTTCTGCTGTAGGAGTTGTGTTCGACGTTCTGTCATCGCAGCTGTTGGCTTCTCTGGAAATGGACCAGACGTTGTTCATTTCTGAAAGGCAGGGTTGAATTTTCACAATCAGACTCCGCATGGTGTGGTGAAATTGATCTAGATTTTCATTAAGCAGATGAAAAATGCATGTTTTTATTACATGGAAGCTAAAGCCTAGCAAAAGGCTATTCATTCCATCTGGCCTATACTGATATTCCTAAAGCTCCACACGGGCCTGGAAGTCTTGTTGGACAGTGGGTACTGTGCCTACTTCTAGACCAGAGAGCTCCAGGTTCAAGATCCACCTCAGAGTTGGATGGCTATGGCTGGTGCCATATCGTGGGCGAGCTGGTTGATGATCAACCCGCTAACTTTTGACCAAACTCTCAAAGCCTCCTGACCCAAACAACTCGGTGACCCCTGTAGCCACTGTCAGCCAATCTTCGTTGCTGCATGAGTGTTTTGCAAAAGCACATGAACAATTTCCTCTTCACGTCCCTCTGCCAATTATCTTCTTTATTCCTGTGGTCTCTCTGTGTGTATCGATTAGCTAAGGCCATCACATGGGCTGCACTTAAGCTGTGCGCTTGAGGACAGGAGTCACTATTTCTCAAAACTCTTGTCCATTCCAAAGTTCTCCCTATGAAAGGAATTGATTGGCTCAGTAACTCAACCATCCTGCTCTGTTAGAGATACAGCACGGAAACAGACCGTTCGGCCCAACCAGTCCATTCTGGCAATTATACTTCAGTCTAGCCTGTTCTCATCCTTCTGTATCTAGGCTAATGGTATTAACTCTCCAGACTCTTCTCCTATATTGAGGTCCCTTTAAATGTTCCTTCTACTATTTCCCTCTGTTGCTACTTGACAAGTTCCAAATTCTCACTACACTGTCTGTTTGATTCCAAGATCCTGAGGTGATCTTCAGACCCCATTTATACCATGGCTTGGACCTCCTACCTCCAGCTCCATCACAACACCCATGTTTGCTCCATCTCAGCTCATCGGCTGCTGATGTTCTCATGCGTGATTCTATTACCTCTTAAATCCTGACTATTTTGATGTACTCCTGTCTGGTCTCCTAGGCTCTAAACGCTTAAACCTAACCAACTGCTCCATGAACTTAATGTTATCCAACACACCTCCCTGACCCTCAACTCGCACCAAGCCCCTGTTCTCCCATCATCCCTATGTTCACTGACCTATGCTGGCTACCCGTCAAGAAATGTCTTTAAAATTCTCCTTTTGTTTCCGATATCTTCACTCCCTCCTTACTTCTGTAGTCTCCTCCAACCCCACACATTGCAATCTAATTCCGGCCTCTTATGGAGTCTTGAGTTTAACAGCTCTAGTGTTGGCGGCTCTATCTACAGCTGTCTGAGCTTTGAACTCTGCCATCCCCTTCCTACACCTCTCTTTTCTCCTTTTAACATGTTCCTTAAACCGAGTTCTCTGAGTAGGTTTTTGATAGTCTAACCTCATATCCTTTTCAAGTGGCATAGCAACGCACTATTTTGTTGCATAGAATCCCTACAGTGTGTAAGCAGGCCATTTAGCCCATCAGGTCCACACCGACCCTCCTAAGAGCATCCCACCCAGATCCACCACTCCCCCACTACCTATTGTCCTGCATTTCCTGTGGCTAGCCAGCACATCATGGACGATTTGCCATGGCCAATCCACCTACCCTGCACATCTTTGGACTGTGGGAGGAAACCGGAGCACCCGGAGGAAACCCAAACAGACACGGGGAGAACATGCAAACTCCACACAGTTATCTTAGGGTGGAATCAAACCCAAGTTACTGGTGCTGTGATGCAGCAGTGTGAACCATTATACCACTCCAATATGCCTACGAAACATCCTAAGATGCTTCACTACATTGAAAATGTCATCTAAATGTAAGTTATTGTTATAGTAAAGACATTTCTTCCAACTTCCCTCCTCTTCCACAAAGGTCCTTTTCCACACCTTTGCAGTGGTGACTGACCGACTGAAATGTTCCAGCAGTGAGCAATTTGAAAATTGTTCTGCCGTTTTTCATATCGCTCTAAGGGCTCAATTGTGTCTCTGTAGTACCTCTGATCCTGAAAACCCTCAGCAATTGCTGCTGTACTCTAGTTTTAGCCTCTTGAGAATCCTACTGTTTTTCACTCCAGTTGCCTTGTCCTTAATCTGCAGAATTTTCTCCTTGAACCTGTCTACCCATCTCCCTGCTGGGCCAAAAACCCAGGAGTTCCCTTCCCAAACATGTTGTGGGTCAACCCACAGGAGGTGGTCTGCAGCAGTTCAAGAAGGCAGCTCCCCACCACCTTCTCAAGGGCAACTAGGGATAGGCAATAAGAGCTGGCCCAGCCAGAGACATCCACGTCCCATGACGGCAAATCCTCCTTAAAATCCCTACCGGTTTAACTAACCTTTGGTCACTCGTGTTAACTGCTTCCATTTTGTCAGATTTTTTTACTTCAATTTTATCACATTTGAAGGCACTGAAGAAATGTCCAGTGTTGTTTTTGGTACAGACCTGTTTGGAACTTGCTGTAAACCAGGTTATCACTGCCACTTCTCTCAGTTGGAAAGCATGGCAATCCGTTTTCTCTCCACCTGAGTAAAACAAAAAAAACTGAAATTGTACTCCAAGAAAAGCTGGTTCCGTTTAGAATCGGAAGAAATTTACAACTGAGTATTCCAAAACCCGTTGATAGCTACCTCTGCACTTAACGCGTTCGCTGAGGATCTAGCCAGGGTGACCTGTTATCCTCCAGCTGCAAAGAGCTGAGGGCTTTCGTGGCACAGTTGTAGTGTCTCTACCTCTGAGCCTGGAGGCCTGGGTTCAAGTCCCAGCAGAGGAGTGAGGAATTTGAGTCATATTGTAAGCACTCATGAAGTACCCTTCAACTCTCAGTCCCTGTTGTAATGTAGGAAATGTGGCAGCCAACTTGTGTACAGCAAGATCCCACAACAGCCAAAGGGAGGGAAAAAGCAGCAGGCAATAAGTCACTGGTATACCATCACCTTTTACTGTCTTTGAGTCGAGCATCATTACCCCAGGCAATGTTCTAGGGACCCGGGTTCAAATCCCACCACGGCAGATGGTAGAATTTGAATTCAATAAAAATCTGGAACCATGAAACCATTGTTGATTGTTGGGAAAAACCCATCTGGTTCACAAATGTCCTTTTTGAGTTTTTTTTTCTTTATTCATTAATGGGGTGAGGGCGTCACTGGCTAGGCAGCATTTATTGTCCATCCCTAATTGCCCAGAGCACAGTTGAGAGTCAAACACATTGCTGTGGGTCTGGAGTCACATTTAAGCCAGACCAGGTAAGGATGGCAGTTTCCTTCCCTCAAGGACATTAGTAAACCAGGTGGGTTTTTCCGACAATCGACAATTGATTCATGGTCATCATTAGATTCTTAATTCCAGATATTTTATTGAATTCGAACTCCACAATCTGCCACAATCAGCGGGATTCAAACCTGGGTCCCCAGAACATTACCTGGGTCTCTGGATTAATGGTCTAGCGATAAAACCACTAGGCCATCGCCTCCCCTGAGTCCAGACACAGAGTAATGTGGCTCACTCTTAACTGCCCTCTGGGCGATTAGGGATGCTGGCCTAGCCAATGATGCCCTCATCCCAAGAATGAATAAATTAAAGTCCTGATGAGCAGGCTTGGGGGTGGGGCAAGGTTATTGGGGGGGCCAGGCGTGAATGTAGTACAATCACGTCAGCCATGATTTTACCGAATGATGGTGTAGGGTAGAGAGGCCAAATGGTCTGTTCCTGCTCCTAGTTTGTGTGTTCACGTATGTACACCTGCTCATTGCAGCTTGCCCTCAGGGTCGGAATGTTGTGGTTCCCAAAACTATTCTAGGGATTTGAGGACAGAATCCTGTCGGACAAAGGCCCTCTCAGGTACCTGCACAGGGATCTTGTCATTGTCACACTGTGCCTTTGGGATCTTGCTGTGCTCTGGGAGTGCCTTGAAGGGGGCTATTGGAAACGTTTGTTTCTTTACTCTTAAATGCAGAATGGTCACTAAAGGCAACCTTAGTAGCCCAATCCATTCCCTGAAAGTAACAGGAGCATGTGAAAGAGGATGTTTACCAGGATATTGCCTGGATTGGAGTGTATTAGCTATAAGGAGAAGTTGGATAAACTTGGATTGTTTTCACTAGTGCATCAGAGGCTGAGAGCCGACCTTATAGAAGTTTATAAAATCATGAGGGGCATAGATAGTCAAGATCTTTTTCCCCATGGTAGGGGAGTCCAAAACTAGAGGGCATCAGTTTAAGTTGAGAGGGGAAAGATTTAAAAGGGGCCTAAAGGGCAACTTTTTCACATAGAGAGTGGTGCGTGTATGGAATGAGCTGCCAGAGGAAACGGTGGAGGCTGGTACAGTTACAACATTTAAAAGGCATCTGGATGGATATATGAATAGGAAGGGTTTAGAGGGATATGGACCAAATGCTGGCAAATGGGACTAGATTTATTTAAGATATCTGGTCAGCATGAACAAGTTGGACCGAAGGGTCTGTTTCCGTGCTGTACATCTCTATGACTCTAGGACTGTATCATAGAAGTACTATATATAAAATTATGAGAGGCATGGATAGGCTGATTGGTCAGAATCTTTTTCCCAGGGTGGAAATGTCGAATATGAGACGGCATAGGCTTAAAGTGATGGGGGAAAGTTTAAAGGAGAGGTGCAAGGGCAAATTTTTCACGTAGTGGGTGAAAAATTCCTGGAACGTAGCTACCAGGGAGGGTGGTAGAAGCAGACACAATAGCAACTTTGAAGAGACATTTAGACAGACTCATGCACAGACTCCCTCCCCCGCCAGTTATACTGTCTTCCACCCTCTTCCTTCAGCCAGAAGATATAAAAGTTTGGATACACGTACGAACAGATTCAAAAACAGCTTCTTCCCTGCTGTTATCAGACTTTGAATGGACCTCGTTACTGTTAACGTTGATCTCTCTCTGCACCTTCCTGGCAGTTGTAACACTGTATCCTACACTCTGTTCTGTTACCCTGATGTGCTTGTGTAGTACAATCTACCTGTTAAGCACTTAAGACAACACTGTTCACTGTACCATGATACATATGACAGTAATAAATCAAATCAAATCAAACAGAGGGATACAGGCTACGTGATAACACAGTGTGGAGCTGGAGGAACGCAGCAGACCAGGCAGCATCAGAGGAGCAGGAAAACTGACGTTTTGGGTCTGGACCCTTCTTCAGAAAAATTTTTTTGTGTTCCTCCAGCTCCACACTGTGTTATCTCTGACTCTAGCATCGGCAGTTCTTACTATCTCTGATACAGACTTTGTGAAGGGTTTAGTTTAGAATGGCATCATGTTCAGTACAGCCAAAAGGCCCTGTGCTGTGCTATTCTAACACGTTAAATAAATTCAGCGTATAAAGTTAACAGTGCCATTGGACAACATCTTGCACAACACCAGGATCCTGGGACAAACAAAGCAGAGACAAGCACGGGAATTCCTAGAAGCCTGGTACTCCACGAAGAAAGCCATCAACAAACACTTGGAACTCGACCCCATATACACTCCACTGCGAAGGAAAACCGGAAGTGAGGTAATCCAGCTCAACCGACTCCAGAGTTTAAATAACAGGCTGGAAAACACAATGGCGCTTCATCGGAGGCTGCACTGATGATGTTACCCAGCACGGTAACAAAACGTTTGCGGAAAATCAACGAACCAGCTCGGCGAGCCAACCAACCACAACAGTGCCATTGTCCTGCTCAGTTGGTGGTTTAACCTGAGGGTCACGGGTGAGGGGAGAGCCTGCCATAGTATCCTCAGCTAGTGCAGGAACTGAACCCACGCTGTTGGCATCACTCTACATCGCAAACCAGCCATCCAGCTCACTGAGCTCAGTATACACTTACCAATTGAAGGTGAATATTATTAGGATCAATGCGATTGATACAACATCTGCTGAAATCCACATCGTTCTGTACTGAGAAGGGGTCTGGATGGAACAATAGAAATGAACAGTAAAGTCAGTAAAGATGATCAGTAAAGTCCTTGGGTAAATTCAGTTCCAGGAACCACATGTCAGAAGTATGTAGTAAAATGACGGAGGTACATTAATGATTGATCAGAATAATACCAGCACAAATAGAGTTAAATGATCATGACTGCAAACATCAGAGTAGGCTTGTATACAGTGGAATGTAGGAGATTATGGAGTGATTATTTTTAATAAAAACCGAAAGAATTGCGGATGCTGTAAATCAGGACTAAAAACAGAAGTTGCTGGAAAAGCTCAGCAGATCTGGCAGCAACAGCGAAGTAAAAATCAGAGTTAATGTTTCGGGTCCGGTGACCCTTCCTCAGAACTTTTTAATGTTAGTTCATGGGATGTGGGTGTCACTGACTGGCCAGCATTTCTTGCCCATCCCTAGTTGCCCCTTGAGAAGGTGGTGGTGAGCTGCCTTCTTGAACCGCTGCAGTCTTCCTGCTGTAGCTTGACCCACAATGCTGTTAGGGAGGGAATTCCAGGATTTTGACCCAGCGACAGTGAAGGATTTAATTTGCGGTGTTAAGATCGTAGAAGTTGTTGACAGAGTGACCCTGATTGCATTAAAGAGTTACAAAAGATGCAAACGTTGCCAAAAAGAGCAAATATTCCAACCGTTCCTCATCTTGGGCTCATCAGGACAAATGCAAGAATGCCAAATTTGAAAAGGTCACAACAATCTAGATTACAAAAACGAAGGGTGCTCACTGATAGACTAGGCCCTTCTTATCGACTGAGGTAATGGGAAACTATCAGCTCCGCAATTTTCCAGGTAACCTTCAAAAAGGGGCAAAACCTGAACATATCCCTTCTGTTTGTAGGGAAGGGTAGCTATGTAGGTCACTTCTAGCTCCCCAGGTATTTGGAGGGCATGTAATTCACCACTTCCCTGCAGAGATTGCTGCTCAGACTCTAGTGTCATTTTCAGGACAGAGAAATGAAAGGAGAACATTCAACCCCTCAAGTGTCATTCAGCCCATCTAACCCATTTTACCCTTCAGTTAGATCATGGCTGGTTTCTATTCAGAATCCATTCACCTGGCTTCTCTCGGTAAACTCTCCAACAATCCTCACTCAACCATAAAGATTTACACTTGGCGTGTCCCACTGTGGCCATGGGATTGGTGGATGAACAGGCATTCACTCACAATAATTTGGCAGGAAGAGGGGGAAATTATTCCGAGGGGGAAAGCCAGGAATTATAGAGTCATAGAGTTGTACAGCACGGAAACAGACCTTTTGGTCCAATTCATCCATGCCGACCACATATCCTAAATTAATCCAGTCCAATTTGCCAAAATTTGGCCATATCCCTCGAAACCCATCCTATTCGTGTACAGATATTTCTACTATAACGCGAATTGGCTGTAATGTGATTGATGAATAGTGGACGCTGTTTGGATAAAACAACCTTTCTACTGTATAGTGTAGTGATTTAGTATAGTAATTTCCCTATAATGCAACTTTCTATGGTGCTATTTTCTACAGTGCAAGGTCACACAAGAACGCAACTATGGAGTTATAGGAGAACTGCCTGTACTCATCCAGTTGCCTTTTAAATGTTATTATTGTCCCTGACTCCACCACTTCCTCTGGCAGCTCAAACCATACACTCACCACCCTCTGCGTGACAAAGTTGCCCCTTAGGTCCCCAATAAATCTTACCCCTCTCACCTTAAACCTATAGGCCTTAGGTTTAGGGTAAAGGTTCGGCACAACATCGTGGGCCGAAGGGCCTGTACTGTGCTGTACTGTTCCATGTTCTATGTTCTATGCCCTCTAGTTTTGGACCCTCCTATCGTACTTACCCTGTCCAGGCCCCTTATGCTTTTATAAAACTATATAAGGTCACCCCTCAGCCTCCTACACTCCAGAGAAAATAGTCACAGCCTATTCAGCCTCTCCCTAAAGCCCAAACCTTCCAACCCTGGCAACATCCTTGTAAATCTTTTCGATACCCTTTCGAGTTTAATATCTTTCTTATAGCAGGGAGGCCAGAATTGAATGCAGTATTCCAAAAACATTTTGTGGCAGAGGGGTGACCTACCATTAGAAACCAGGGCCAGTGGAGTTCCTTCAGCTGCTGAGGAGCGTTGGTGATGACGGAATGGGCACCGGAGCACCATACCAAAGAAAAGAGCCACAATTCGCTCACGACATAGAGGTTTGTGCTGATGTTGGCAGCTGCATACATTCTGCGTTTGAGGGAAAGACATTAGTCAAAAAATAATTTCCTTTTGCTTAAAAAAACGATCTCCACTTGCAGAAATAAAGCACCGAATCCTGTCGAGTCACAGAATCGTCACAGGATAGAAGGAGGCCATTCAGCCCATCACATCTGCACTGGTTCCCTGAGCACTTTGACTTAGCACCCACCTCTTGCAATTTCACTGGAACCCAACACATTTCTATTTAAACCATCCAATGGCCCCCTTGAACGCCTGAATTGAACCTGCCTCCACCACATTTACAGGCAGCCCATTCTACACCATAACCATCCGCTGCATGAAAATAGTTTTACTGTTTTGCATTTGCTTTTTGTATTCAACTGGTTAAGTTATAAGAAAGAGGTAGTTTTGTTATGAGAAGACAGTTTCAAACACAACCAAGAATGAAGGATAGAAAGTCGCTTTTCTCTGTTGCCTGTGAGCATTCACCATAAAAACATCAATTCAAGAAGCCCCAAAACCAGACTCTGGAAGAGGTAACATAGGTCTTCCCATCTCTCCTGCTGCAAGCTCCCAATTTATGTCACATAAAATGGTACAAAATTTTATTTCTTATTCACTCAGGGGATGTGGGTATCACTCACTGGGCCAGCATTTTTACCCATCCCTAGTTGCCCGTTGAGAAGGTGGGGGTGAGCTGCCTTCTTGAACCGCTGCAGTCCAGCTGCTGTGGGTTGACCCACAATGCTGTTAGGGAGGGAATTCCAGGATTTTGACCCAGCGGCAGTAAAGGAACGGCGATATATTTTTAACTCAGGATGGTAAGTGGCTTGGAGGGGAACTTGCAGGGAATGGTGTTTCTGCTGCCCATGTCCTTCTGGATGGATGTGGTCATGGGCTTGGAAGGTGCTGTCTAAGGAATCTTGGTGAATTTCTGCAGTGCATCTTGTGGACAGTACACACTCCTGCTACTGAGTGTCGGTGGTGGAGGGAGTGGATGCTTGTGGATGTGGTGCCAGTCAAGCAGGCTGCTTTGTCCTGGATGGTGTCAAGCTTCTTGAGTGTTGTTGGAGCTGCACTCATCCAGGCAAGTGGGGAGTATTCCATCACGCTCCTGACTTGTACCTGGACAGGCTTTGGGTAGTCAGGAGGTGAGTTACTCATTGCAGTAGACCCAGCTTCTGACCTGCTCTTGCAGCCATTATATTTATATGGCTAGTCCAGTTCAGTTTCTGGTCAGTGGAACCCCTAGGATGTTGATAGTCGGGGATTCAGTGATGGTAACACCATTGAATGTCAAGGGGTGATGGTTAGATTGTCTCTTATTGGTGATGTTCATTACTTGACATTTGTGTGGCACAAATGTTACTTACCATTTGTCAGGCCAAGCCTAGATTTCATCCAGATGTTATTGCATTTGGACATGGACTGCTTCAGTATCTGAGGAGTTAGAAATAGTGCAGGACATTGTGCAATCTTCAGGGAACATCTGATATTAGAGTCAGAAGGTTGTAGGTTCCATTTAAATTCAGAGATTTGATCCCAATTTTCCAGCCAACACTTCCTCCTGAACTACATCACTGAGAGAGACTATCTGGTCACAATTATATTGCAGTTTATGGGAGTTTATTGTGTTTAAATCGGCTGCCTTATCTCAATCACAACAGTGAGCACACTACAAAAGTATTTCATTGGCTGTGAACTGAAGCAGGAAACGTTGCTACGGAAATACAAATCTCTCATGTCAATAGTTCCACGTCAATCTATTTTCAAATCTTCCATGGGATGTGGATGTCATTAGCCAGTCCATCATTTACTGCCCATCCCTGAGCTGCTGCTGTGATACATTTCAGGGCATTTTGCCTCATTAAGGGATGTGATAAGAGTATAAGTTGTTACTGACCTGATCTCTTGGCTGGAAATCTCACTGTAGCGTATGTTAAGTTCGTCAATTTTGTCCTCCTGTAACTCTTTGATGGGCTTCTTTCCCCCGTGAATATGCACAAATCCAGGCATCATCTGCTGCACAAATGATCTCATAGCGTTGGGCAGCCAGAGAACCTGCAACGAAAGATAGGAAATATTCTGTGACCTTTAACCCCATCTAAAGGTGTGGCCATTTCTCCACCACAGCCACAGTTAGGTCACTGGAGTTTAGAAAAATGATCTATAGGATCTCATAGAAACCAATAAAATTCTAACAGGACTAGACAAGGTTAAATGTAGGAAGGATGTTCCCAATGACTGGGCAGGGCTCACTACCTAACGATACGGGGTAGACCATTTAGGACTGAGATGAGGAGACATTTCTTCACCCAGAGAGTGGGGAGCCTGTGGAATTCTGCCACAGAAAGCAATAGAGGCTAAAAATGTTTTTAAGAAGGAGTTAGATATTGTTCTTAGGGCTAAAGGGTCAAAGAGTAGGGGGGAGCAAGCAGGAACAGGGACTGGGTTGGATGATCGGACATGATCATCTTGAATGGTGGAGCAGGCTATCACTGAACAGAAACTCAACTGGACTAAATACAGTTGCTACAAGAGCTAGGAATACTGCGATGAGTAACTTACCTCCCGACTCCCCAGAGCCTGTCCTCCACCTACAAGGTCAGGAGTATGATGGAATACTCCCCACTTGCCTGGATGAGAACACCATAAAACCCATCTCTTTTCCACCTCTCTCCAGTCCTGAAGAAAGGTCCCTGACCTTAATACGTTAACTCTATTTTCTCTCTCCACAGGTGTCACTGGAACCTCTTGAGCTTCTCCAGCAATTTCTATTTACAAAAAGTTACTTTTAATCAACCTGTTACAACATATCTTCGAACCAAGATACTCTAACCCAGAGGTCAGAACATCACCACTGCACCATAAGAGACCTCTCCACTGTTTATTGATAACACAGTGTGGAGCTGGAGGAACACAGCAGGCCAGGCAGCATCAGAGGAACAGGAAAGCTGACGTTTCGGGTCAGGACCCTTCTTCAGAAATGTGGGTTAGATAATCTGGCACTGATGATGGATTGCAGGCAGACTGAGGCTGGGTGTAAAGGCAAGATTTGGGGCTTTTTGAAAGGTTATTGAGTAGATCAGGATCATATTCTCTGGGATTAAAGGAATGAGAGGTAACTATTGAAAAATATCAGGTTCAAAGAGCCCTGACAGGATACATACCAAGATGCTAAGGCGTCCAGTGATCTCCACAATAGCTCAATGGTTAGCACTGCTGCATCACAGGGACAAGGACTTGGGTTCTATCCCACCCTCGGGTGACTGTCGGTGTGGAGTTTGCACATTCTCCCCGTGTCTGTTTGGGTTTTGTCAGATTATTCATTTGCTCCCACATTCCAAAGATGTGCAGGTTAGGTGGATTGGCCATGCTAAATTGCCTGTAATGTCCAAGGATGTGCAGGCTGGATGGGTTAGCTGTGGGAAATGCAGGTTTACAGGGATGGGGGGGATAGGGTTCTGGGTGGGATGTTTTTCAGGGGGTCAATATGGACTCCATGGGCTGAACAGCCAGCTTCCACACAGTGGGGATTCTATCTTTAACAAAACATTGTGAACTTGCTGTGGAAGCCAGGTCATTGAGTATATTAAAGGCAGAGATAGATAGGTTCTTGATTGTTATGGGGATGAAAGGTTATGGGGAGAAGGCAGGAGAATGGGTTGAGAGACTCATCAGCTATGATTGAATGGTGGAGCAGACTTGATGGGCTGAATGGTCTCATTTCTGCCCCTCTATCTTATAAATTTCTTCACCCAGAGAGTGGTGAGACTGTGGAGTTCTCTGTGACAGAAAGCGGTTGAGGCCAAAACATTGAATGTTTTCAAGAAGCAGTTCATTATGGTTCTTAGGGCTAAAGAGATCAAAAGCATATAGAAAGAAGGCAGGCGCAGGGTACTGAGATGGATGATCAGCCATGATCATAGTGAATGGTGGAGCAGGCTCCAAGAGCCAAATGGCCTACTCCTGTTCCTATTTTCTATGTCAGTGGGGAATTGGCCTTGAAATATTGATTGGCAAGAGATGTCTCAAGGGACCGTACAGGCTAAACTGGCCTGGGGACCATGCTGGCAAAATGGTAATGTCGCTGGTAACGTTAAACCACAGATTAAAGTTCCGGGCATGAATTCAAATCCTACAGCAATGACTTGTTGAAATTAAATTCCGCATTTGAATGCTAGTCTCAGAAATGGAAAACTAGCATCAATTGTCATTAAAAGAAAACCATCCTTTAGGGAAGGAAATCTTCTGTCCTTACCTGGTGTAGTCTACACGTGACTCCAGACCCACAGCAATGTGGTTGACTTTTAACTGCCCTCTGAAATGGTCCAGCAAGATCTCAGTTTATAGACACTTACAGACAGGCGACAATTACTGACTTTGTCAATGACACCCTCATCCGAAGAAAGAGCAATCTTATATGTGTATGTTGGTTGAAAATGGAAACACAGAAGCCTCCTACGTCCTTACTCAAGGAGTCACAAGGAATCATTCAGAGATAGTAAGAACTGCCAATGCTGCAGGAACAAAGCAGGCCAGGCAGCATCAGAGGAGCAGGAAAGCTGACGTTTCGGGTCGGGACCCTTCTTCAGAAATGGGGGAGGAGCAAGAGAGCTCAGAAATAAATAGAGGTCCACTGAGGTCTTTCCGGAGAGAGGAGGATAATTTTTTCAAGGTAGGCATCCCTAGAAGAGGCTTCACAGTGAGGTTATAACTCACTCAGAGATAGTAAGGACTGATGATGCTGGAGTCAGAGATAACAGTGTGGATCTGGAGGAACACAGCAGGCCAGGCAGCATCAGAGGAGCAGGAAAGCTGATGTTTCGGGTCAGGACCCTTCTTCGGAAATGGGGGAGGGGGAAGGGAGCTCAGAAATCATTTATGCCTTCTCAATGAGCAGGGAGCACCTCAACTATTAAATATCACCCCACACAGTGGGGTTTTCACTCAGCACTGCCCAGAGCTTACAGCTGAAACAAGGAGGAGGATGTCGAAAGGAAAGAGAGTGAGAAAGGGATGAAAGAGAAAGAATGCGAACAGAGATGACCATTTGAAAGAGTGAAGCCAACATCTATACAAATAATGGGGTGAATTTCTTCAAGGTTTCAAACATTTCTGTCAATCCTCCAGCGATGAAGTAACAGAAATCCTCAAGTCATAGAGTCATACAGCACAGAAAGCACAGACGCTAAGGTCCAACCAGTCCATGCCAACCTTAATCCCAAACTAAACCAGTCCCACTTACTTGTGCTTGACCCATATCCCTCCAAACCTATCTGTTCATGTACTTATCTAAATGTCTTTCAAACTTTGTAACTGTACCCACATCCACCATTTCCTCAGGAAGTTCATTCCACACACGAACCACTGTCTGTGTAAAGAAGTTGCCCCTCATGTCTTTTTAAAATTTCTCTCCTCTCACCTTAAAAATATAACCCCTAGACTTGAACTCCCCCACCCTAGGGAAAAGACACCTGACATTCACCTTATCTTGGCCCCTCATTATTTTATTAACTTCTATATAGTCAACTCTCAACTTCCTATGGTCCAGTGAAAAAAGTCCCAGACTATCCAGCCTCTCCTTGTAACTGAACCCCTCCATTCCCTGGTAAATCCTTTCTGCACCCTGTCCAGCTGAATAATATCGTTCCGCTAACAGACTGACCAGAATTGGACACAGTATTCCAGAAGAGGCCTCACCAATGTCCTGTATAATGTCAACATAACATCCCAACACCTATACTCAAAGGTCTGAGCAATGAAGGAAAGCGTGCTAAACACCTTCTTAACCACCCAATCTATATGTGATGCAAACTTCAAAGAATGATGTACCTGAAGGCCTGGGTCTCTCTGTTCTACAACACTACCCAAGGCCTACTTTTAATTGTATAAGTCCTGCCCTTGTTTGTTTTTACCGAAATGCAGTACCTCACATTTATCCAAATTAAAGTTATGGAAAGCCAAGTGAGTGAAAGGTCATTACCAAGCTCTCGTTGATCCCAGACCTCTGGATGGTGGTGACAGTCTGGTGTATGAAGCTGTTTCGGTACGGGTGCTTGTGGGGGGGCCTGAACAGGTCAAAGATGACCGATTTCCCATGGGTAGCAGCCAGCTTGAGGAGTTCACTGAGCTGACAGATTGACTGCCTGTTGGCCTTCTCCCTGTCCTCACGTGACAACAAATGTTTCGTTCCGAAAGGGTTGTCCTGTTCAGGGAAAGGAAGAGGCCATTAGAAATGGGGGCATTGTGGGACAGGGTGAAATACAAACAAAACAACCTTTTTTTTTTAAAACACACGTTGTTTCGCCCCGGCCCTTAATACACCCTGATCATTTCTACACAACCAGTATCAACTCTTGACTATCTCCCTGCTCCCATTAATAGGTGGCAATCATTTACCCAGTGGTAAATGCACTGCCCTTAAGTTCTGTGGATCTGCTTCCACTGAGTTTCAACATTTCTGTTATATTTATAGCAACATGCTAAAGACCCGACATCAACCAGACAAGAGGGAAATTCGCCCCCTTGGTTACCATTTCTGTACACGTTGACCTCTCACCCCTGCTGTGTGCCCCACCTGGAGAAACCATTTCCCTGCATTCAGTTCTGCCAGTTCATTCCAAATAAAGGAGGCCGCATTCTTGGTCTTGTTGCTTGGAAACACCTCTTCAATGTTGGTGGTCCTTCTCAGCGTTTGGTCGTGCATGAGGAACGGCACTCCATCCCAACTGTTAAACAATGAGAAACATTGCACCTCAGGAATCACCTTAGAACTGGAGACGTGGGATTATCATGACATCATAAGAAACAAGAGCAGGCCATTCAGCCCGTCAAAATTGCCTTGCCATTCAGCAGTCCCCATGCAATTGTTTCTATCCATTGAAATAAGCAAGCAAGCATCTCAACTTGCAACTGATCAGATTGTGGCACAAAGAATCATAGATTCAGCCCATCAAGTCCACACCAACCCTCCAAAGAGCATCCCACCCAGACCCACATTATCCCAATAACCCTGCATTTCCCATGTCTAATCCACCCCGCCTGCACATCATTGGCACGGCCAATCCATCTAACCTACAGATCTTTGGACGGCGGGAGGAAACCCACACAGATACAGGGAGAATGTGCAAACTCCACACAGAAGTCACCCAAGGCTAGAATCGAACCCAGGTCCCTGGCACTGTGAGGCAGCAGTGCTAACCACCGAGCAACCGTGCCATGGTTTCAGAGAGTCATAGAGTCATTACAGCATGAAAGAGGACCTTCAGCCCATCATGTCTCTGACAGAGACCAAATATTCATCCATTTTAATCCCATTTTCCAACACCAGGCCCATAGTTTTCTCTGCTATGGCATTTCAAATAAATAGTTTGTAAATGTCGGGAGGGTTGCTGTCTTTCCCTCCCTTTTAGGCAGTAAATTACAGATATCCAAAACCCTCTGGGCGAAATTTTTTTCCTATCCTCAAAACTGTGCTCCCTGGTTATTGACCGATCTCCTGAGGGGAACCTTTTTTTAATTCATGCACAAGTTCAGCATTTATTGCCCAGAGGGCAGTTAAGAGTGAACCACATTGCTGTGGGTCTGGAGTCACATGTAGGCCAGACCAGGTAAGGATGGAGTTTCCTTCCCTAAAGGACATTAGTGAACCAGATGAGTTCAGCAACCCCATCCCCTGAGATTTGAAACAGGTTTCATGGTCATCATTAAACTTCATTCCACATTTTTAATGAATCCAAATTTTTGGCAGGGTGGGGGGGAGGGGCGTGAGGTGGGGGGTGTCCGCTGGATTAATAGGTCTAACAATAATACCACTGTGCTATTGCCTCACCTATCTACTATTTCTCCCTATCTACTGTGTCCATGCAACTCAGAAAGGTTTGTTCAACTTTAATCAGATCTTCCCTCAGCCTTGAAAATAAAAGTCACGTCAGCTCTGATGAGGAGTCACTTAGACTCGAAACGTTAGCTCATTCTCTCTCCATAGATGCTGCCTGACCTGCTGTGATCGCCAGCATCTTTTGCTGTCAGTACAGACTCCAGCACCTGCAGTAATTTCCTCCCCCCTCAGCCTTCTTCCCTGCCTGCCCCAATTCCGTAGGCCTCCACTTCCTTGTACATCAAAACTCTGTCTCACTCGGCCTTCAATGTATTTAATGGTACAAGCTTCACTGACAGAATTCCAAAGAATCGAGGTTGAGACCCAAAACTTTAGTCAACACTCGAAGTATGCTCTCACCAATGCCCTCTACAGCTACAGAGAGAGTTCCCTACTTCCGTACATGTCCCCTTAAAATAAAGGCCAACATTCCATTGCCCGTTTTCATTACTTGCTTTATCTGCGTGCTAACATATCATGATTCATGTACAAGCATGCCCAGATCCATTTGTACTGCCTTATTCCGTGGGCTTTCTCCATTAAAATAATATTCTGCTTTTCTCATCTTCCTGTCAAAATGGAAAATCTCTCTTTTTCCCACATTACACCTCTGTTTGCATTTTTTTTTGCCCACTCTCTTCACCCATCTATTTCCTGCTGTAGGCTCTTTATATCCCCTTCACAACTTGCTTTCCTGCCTCCCTTTGTACGTTGAGAAAGCTGGACTACATTCCCGGTCTTCTGCAACTGAAAATGCCATCTCCATAGCACAGACTTTTCAAGCCTTCCTAATGCTGCTGGAATCGAACGGTTCCCTATTCTGGGCAGTCTGGATCAGCGTTAATCACACCCAGGTCAAGGGGGACTTAGTATGAAGAGTGTTTCTCCCTACCACCCCAGCAACCCACCTCTGTCAGAGGTACACATCCTTATCCGCCAGCCATAACCACACACCATACCTGGCCTCCTCGAACAGTGACACAAACTGGGGCCAGAGACTGGGGAATCCAGGAATCACAGTCTAAGGATATGAGGAAGGACTGAGATGAGGGGAAATTTCCTCACCCAGAGAGTGGTGAGCCTGCGGAATTCTCAGCCACAGAAAGCAGTTGAGGCTAAAACATGTTTCCAAGAAGGAGTTTGATAAAGTTCTTATGGTGAAAGGAATCAAAGTGTGTGGGAGAAAGCAAGAACAAGGGACTGAGCTGGATGATCAGCAGTGATCATACTGAATGGTGGAGCAGGCTCGAAGGGCTGAAACAACAAGGTGCAGAGCTGGATGAACACAGCAGGCCAAGCAGCATCATAGGAGCAGAAAGGCTGACGTTTCGGGCCTAGACCCTTCTGATGAACCTTGTTGTCTCGGATTCTCCAGCATCTGCAGTTCCTACTATCTCGAAGGGCTGAATGGCCTGTTCCTGCTCCTATTTTCTATGTTTCTATTAAAAGTAGTTGTCTCCTGAGCATCAATGTTTACAAGGAACTGGGTCAAAACTGTACAAACCAGTCTCATCGATTGAAGAACCAATACAGCAGTTGGAGTATTCCCTTACAGGCAAAAGGCAGTCAATGTCAGTTTTGAAGATATCAATCAATTTGTCAGGGAGTTTCAGACTTCCCCTTTCCTGTGACAAAGGGCTTCCTGGCGCCATTGCTGTAAGTCCTACTGTTAATCTTAATGAGCTGGGCAACGTATCTCTCACTTTCCCACCTAACAGGTCAGTCAGTCCAGAGGCCCACCCATCACCAAGCCACTGTTCCCCCTGCCCTATTACACCTGATGGGGGCATTAGTTAGCCCAGGGCAAGACTTCACCACATCATATGAGGATGTCAAGATAGAATCCCTACAGTGTGGAAACAAGCCCTTCAGCCCAACAAGTCCACACTGACCCTCAGAGCATCCCACCCAGACCCAGACCCATCCCCCTATAATCTACACATCCCTGAACACTATGAGCAATTTCATACGGCCAACCCACCTAGCCTGCACATCTTTGGACTGTGGCAGGAAACCAGAGCACCCAGGGGGAACTACGCAAACACAGGGAGAATGTGCAAACTCCACACAGACAGTTGCCTGAGGCTGGAATTGAACCTGGGTCCCTAATGCTGTGAGGCAGCAGTCCTAACCGCTGAGCCACCGAGAGCTGCCAGATGATGTAATTGTATGGCATCTCTGTACCAGTGGCGCCAGGCTTGAGTGGTGGCCATCACAGGAACTACAGCCATTCCCCAAAGAAGAGGTGATGTTAAATCTGGGGCACAGGTAGGGTCTGGCAGGACACCCCAGCAATGGGCGTGGGGAACCATGTCCTAAAGGCACAGAAATCAGAAGCTCAAGGAGAGGACAGACGTTAGGACTATTTGGGGGTGGGTAGCTGGAGGGGGGAATGCCTCTTGAATTTCAAAGGAACTCGTGATGGTGTAGGAAAGTGGCACTGAGATAGATGATCAGCCATGATCGAAATGAATGGCGGAGCAGATTTGAGGGCTGAATGGCCTACTGCTGCTCCTAACATCCTGTACGTGCATGCCTACTCCAACTGCTGTAGTGGTTCTTCAATCAATGAGACTGGTTTGTACAGTTTTGACCCAGTTCTTTGTAAACATTGATGCTCAGGACACAACTACTTTTAATAGAAACATAGAAAATAGGAGCAGGAATAGGCCCTTCGAGCCTGCTCCACCATTCAATAAGGGAAGGAATAGGGTGAACCAAAGTGGGTGAATGGAACAGTGATGGATGATCTAATGGTATAGCAGGGACGGACCCTTCAGCCTTGTCCGCCCGCCATTCAATAAAAATCCCGGCTGATCTGATTACTCCACCTTCCCGATACCCCTTTGCCCCCATGCTTACCCAAAGACTGGTTGGGGCAGTTAATGTGGGTAATGCCTCTTGTACTCCCTCTTCCCCAAAATAGGATACCCAATGACCGCGCCCACCCCCAACCCCCAATACCAGCTCCTGAGCTACTCACTTGGTCTGGACTGCCCATTGCCACAAACAAAATAGCAGAGGGGCAGGTTGCTATTAGGGTCAGGGTCTTTAATAGGTCCCAGGATGAGCTGGCCCACACCTCTACTGCCCCCTGTAGAATGAGAATCAGACCAGGGTGAGTGAGAAGGTGGCAGACAGGCTGCTGTATTTACACTCAAACCCCAACCTCACCCAATCCCACCTTCAAAGCAACCAGCACAGGGTTGTAAAATAAGACCAGAAAGAAATAAGAACGGGAGTAGGCCATTCGGCCCCTTGAGCCTGCTCCACCATTCAATAGGATCATGTCTGATCCGACATTCGTCACATTCACTTTCCTTGCCTTTTCCCCAAATGATCAAGAATTGACTTATAAAAACCAAAAGAACTGTGGATGATATAAATCAGGAACAAAAACAGAAGTTGCTGGAAAAGACCAGCAGGTCTGTGAAGAAAAAACAGAATTAACGTTTCGGGTCCGGTGACCCTTCCTCAGAACTGATGATGGGAAAACGTCAATTTGTATGCAGAAAATAGGGAGTTCAGACTTATACAAGCACAGAGACTGTATAAATCCAGCCTAAAGTATGCCACCTTCTGCTCTTAACTCTGATCGCTGGAAGAAATCAATTCTCTTGATTAAATCCTTTAACTGACTTAAAATGAACTCTCCCTTAACTCTTCCCCACAGGTTCGACTGAGGCATTGAAGAGAGGCATTGGATGGTTATTTGGACAGTAATGATGTGCAGGGATAAGGCAGGAGATTGGTATTGGGTAATAGAACAAGCGTGATGGGTTGAATTCTGCATCGTGATAATTTTGTGATTCGGTATCACTGGTTCAAAACCCTGGAACTCCATCCCTAATGGCATTATGGGTCTACCTACAGCACATGGACTGCAGCGGTTCAAGAGGGCAGCTCACCACCACCTTCTCAAAGGGGCAACTAGAGACGGGCAATAAATGCTGAACCAAACTGAGATGCTCATGTCCCCTGAATGAATATCATAAAAAGCTCCCTTACAAAATAAATACATTTTAAAACATGCTGAAGCTGCCAATGACTTCTGTACTCTATCGGTACAGCATCATTTCCTTGTTTGAGAATTCCAGCAACGTGGCAGCTCGTTGGATGACTTTTAGACGATAGGGACAACTAGAGCAACACCTTACCTAATGGTGACATCAGTCTCTAGACCATCTGCTCCATGTTCTATCGTCTTCTCAAATGACATCAATGTGTTTTCTGGTGCTAACTGTTAAATGGTAAAAAGGAGAAATTGATGTTGTTGCACTTTCATGCTCACACAAAGGCGCTGAGCTCTCTGTCACACTGAGGTTTCATTTCTGAGCACAGAACACCATTAGATCAGGGGTTCCGCAATGTGAGAGCTCAAAATCTCAATCCATGCTGAGTCACATTGGGAACGGGGAGGTCTCTCGGTCAGGTTGTGTCGGAATTCTGGTTAACTTGAGGCAGGCACAGATCCCCTCATGCATGGGATATTATTCTGGGACCTTCATGTCCTTGCTACGCCTGGTTATGTGTCTCCAGCCCTCTCTGGATGCCATTACCATTTCATTGCACTGTCTGAGTTAATGAACAGCTGCTCTTCCTACGGGTCTCAACCCTCCTGTCATTATTTCCAAAGCTCAGAGGGGCGTTGGTTGGGAAGTTCAGTGGCTGGGTGGGTCATGGGGAGGTGTGGTCATTGGCTGTAGAGGTGTGGGGTGGTCTAGTTAACACCAGCTCCTACAGCCAAAGGCACCAATATCAGGAGATCGGGAAGGAGGCAGACAGAAGGTGAATGGAGGTCTCTTAGTGAGCCTGGAGACTTTGACAAACCATCCCAATGTTGGGTTAACACTGTGCCTCTCAAAGCCCTGATTCTTAATTCTTCCTGTCTGGCTCCTGAAAACTCCCAGCTGATCAGCTCACTGCAAAGGTGAAACTTTTTCACATTGGCAAATTTGCAACTTTTATCGGTACAGGTAACATTAAAAAGCACTGAAATTTCCACACAGTGGCTTAGGTTGTTCCAAACACACAACAGTCGATAAAGGACTTTTCAAGGTTAGTCTGTTGTGAGAAGCTGGGCAAACATTTTGAGCACAGCAAGCTCCCACAAATAGTACACAGTTTCTGGGATGTTGCCTGAGCTGACATGCTTTAACCAGAACAATCAGGGCAAACTCATCTGCTCACCTTCAAATGGTGGTATTATCATAGACAGTGTGGAAGCAGGCCATTCAGTCCACACCGACCTTCTGAAAAGCATCCTACCCAGACCCATATCCCCACATTTCCTCACATTTCCCCACATTTCCCCACGGCCAATCCACCTCACCTGCACATCTTTGGACTGTGGGAGGAAACCAGAGCACCCGCAGGAAACCCACGCAGACACGGGGAGAATGTGCAAACTCCACAATTCCAAGGGTGGAATTGAACCTGGGTCCCTGGTGCTGTGAGGCAGCAATGCTAACCACTGAGCCATCGTGCCCACCCCATACTAGGCTCACTATCTTGTCCACCCGAGAAGGTGGTAAAGAGCCTCAGTTTAAAGCCCTGCCCATGGACAACATTTTGTCGCTGCAGTGGCCCCTCAGCTTGGCATCAGGTGTCATTGACAAAGCCAGCATTTCTTATCCATCCCTAATTGCCCTTGAACAGAGTGGCTTGTGAGGGCCATTTCAGAAAGTGATTAAGAACCAACCACGTTCCAGTGGGTCTGGGGTTACATATTGGCAGAGGAAGTGAGAGCAGCAGATTTCCTTCCCTGCAGAGGCATTAGTGAACAGGTGGACTTTCGTGACAATTGACAATGGATCGATAAACACATCATCAAGACTAGTTTTCAATTCCAGATTTTATTCATTGAGTCTAAACGTTGACCGTAATGGGACTTGAACCCATGCCCCTGACAGCATTACAGCTGAGTTACTATTCCAACGACTTGGCCACTCTACCACCATCTCTCCATAGAGCCCGCCTTGTGAGTTCAAACATCAAGAGTGGTATTCAAGCTCAAACCATTTCGCCTCAGTAGCAGTAGTGTTAGCCACTGATACCTTGTTGGGCAGCTCTAAGAGGTTGCTAAGAGTAGGGAGAGACTCAATCAAAGGGTGACGTACCATTGGTGCTCCTCTGTGTCCAATAATAGCTGGTTTTGGCCCCAGGGTCCCCTTCTCTTTGATGCAGGGAGAATACATACCGAGTGGCACCAGGTAGAGGAAAAGGAGAACAGCAGAATATAGACCCAAAATGATGGCTCTGGGAACTGAAATACAAAAATAGATATTGAGTTGGCAACCAAACAGCTCTTGGCTTGAACTCTCCAACATGCACAGCACAGCAAGGGAGGGGCATCAGCCCATCTGATTCCTTTTTGAAAACTATTAATCTGTTTCCACCAGCTTTTCAGGTGACACGTTCCACATGCCACAACCTAAAACCATTCCTCCTCACACCTCCACCTGGTTCTTTCACCAACTCCCTTCAATATATCCTCCGGTTACCAATCACTCCTGTTGCTCAAGCAAGTTTCTCCTTATTCTATCATGAACTTTGACAATTTGGAACATCTTCACTCAACCTTCACCGCTCTGAGGAGAACAATCCAGTTTCTCCACTCTGTCATGTTGATGGGGGCAGTGCGAGGGAAAACAAGCTCAGCTATTTCCAGAGTTGGCACAAAACAAAGTTTTTAAGAGAAATATGTAAAATCCCCAAACAAACTGATTTTCGATCTGGGTTAATAAAAAAAAAACACAGAGTGCAGGGCTGGATGAACACAGCAGGCCAAGCAGCATCATAGGAGCAGAGAGGCTGACATTTCAGGCCTAGACCCTTCATCAGAAAAGGGGGAGGGGAAGGGGGTTCTGAAATAAATAGGGAGAGAATGGGAGGCGGATAGAAGAGGGATAGAGGAGAGGATAGGTGGAGAGGAAACAAACAGGTCGAAGAGGCGGGGATGGAGCCAGTAAAGGTGAGTGTAGGTGGGGAGTTAGGGAGGGGATAGGTCAGTCCAGGGAGGACGGACAGGTCAAGGGGGCGGGATGAGGTTGGTCGGTAGGAGATGGAGGTGCGGCTTGAGGTGGGAGGAGGGGATAGGTAGGAGGAAGGACAGGTTAGGGAGGCAGAGACGAGCTGGACTGGTTTTGGGATGCGGTAGGGGGAGGGGAGATTTTGAAACTTGTGAAATCCACATTGATACCATTGGGCTGCAGGGTTCCCAAGCGGAATATGAGTTGCTGTTCCTGCAACCTTCGGGTGGCATCGTTGTGGCACTGCAGGAGGCCCAGGATGGACATGTCGTCTGAGGAATGGGAGGGGGAGTTGAAATGGTTTGCGACTGGGAGGTGCAGTTGTTTATTGCGAACCGAGCGTAGGTGTTCTGCAAAGCGGTCCCCGAGTCTCCGCTTGGTTTCCCCGATGTAGAGGAAGCCACACCGGGTACAGCGGATGCAGTATACCACATTGGCAGATGTGCAGGTGAACATCTGCTTGATGTGGAAAGTCTTCTTGGGGCCAAAGTCTTCTTGGGGCCTCTCTGCTCTCTGCTCCTATGATGCTGCTTGGCCTGCTGTGTTCATCCAGCCCTGCACCTTGTTGTCTCGGATTCTCCAGCATCTGCAGTTCCTACTATCTCTGATTCAAAAAAAAACACAAACTGGGTTTCTGTGCTGAACAAAAAAAATCTCTTATTTATTGCAGACTATTAGCTACAAATAAACAAACTGAATAAATGGAACTGTACAAATTAAAACTCTAAACCCTTTCTAAACACCCACCTCCATAAACATACACACAGACACACACATACGCGCAGAAACGCATGTGCACATGCACACACGCACGTGCACACACTCACTCTCGTGCAGACACACACATACACAACATAAGAAGCATGGGCAGAGATTACAAAACTGCTTTCCCAGTTTTCCCTATGTCCACAAACTCTGTTGGTTTGGCTCTTGCTGATCTAAAGATTTCTCCCCAACCTTCCTTTTCTTCTGAATGCTTCTACTGGTTTGCAAAAGGTACAGGCTGGCTGGTTCACTTATAAAAGGTCTCTGACTTATCCAGTTCAAAGTCACAACTTGCAGCCTCTGCTGGAAGAAAGATAAGCTGATTTTCTTCTGGTTTAAAGTGGTTTACTGCAGAGAACTGACAGGAAGAGTTCTTGGCTGCTGTAGACCTGCTGGTTTCTCTTCTGGTCTGGCCAAGCTTCTCTCTGTCTATTCACAGGCCAAGCTGTTCAGCTCCCCCCTGACAACCAATATCTTGTTGTTGTCAAGTAGAAAACCTTTGTCTTGATAATTGGTCCCGTGTCCACCAACAATCAGCTTCAGTCATAAACAAACCCTCAGCTCCTGTTCGTCTGCACATTACTGGAACCAACAGCTACACAAACAGGGTTCACAAAAGGTAACAAATGCGTTACTTTCAACACATGCAGGCTTCCTTGCAAATCCCTGGATTTTGAATTGTTATAGAGTCATGGAGATGTACAGCACAAAAACAGACCCTTTGGTCCAACTTGTCCATGCTGACCAGATATCCTAAACTAATCTAGTCACATTTGCCAAAATTTGGCCCATATCCCTCTAAATCTTACCTATTCATATACCCATCCAGATGCCTTTTCAATGATGTAATATTACAACCCTCCACCATTTCCTCTGGCAGTTCATTCCATACACACACCACCCTTTACATGAAAAAGTTGGCCCTCAGGTCCCTTTTAAATCTTTCCCCTCTCACCTTAAATCCATGCCCTCTAGTTTTGGACTCCCGTACCCTGGGGAAAAGACCTTGGCTATTCACCCTATCCATGCCCCTCATGATTTTATAAACTTCTACAAAGTCACCTCTCAGCCTCCAATGCTCCAGGAAAGATAACCCCAGCCTATTCAGCCTTTCCCTATAGCTCAAACCCTCTAGCCCTGGCAACATCCTTGTAAATCTCTTCTGCACCCTTTCAAGTTTAACGACATTTTTCCTACAGCAGGGAGACCAGAATTCTTTTGAATTTCAGTCCACAGTTTAAAGAAAGCACAAAAATAAAAAGATATGCTCCTTACAACTCTTTCTACATCACTGAAGTCCCACCTCCCTGGTCCCATTCCAGCAACTGCCCTCTATATCTTCCCTAAGACCTTGAAATCCTTCCTAAAGTGTGCGGTGCAGAATTGGTGGCAACATTGCCTCAAAAACTGGAGAATTGATTTATAAACTTGGACCGTCAATTTTGAACTGGACACTGTATCCACGAAACTGCAGTAACCATACATCTTTCAAACCTTCACAACTGGTTCTGTCACCTTTAAGGATAACTTTCATTTCTTTGACACTCAGAGTTTGTACTCCAACAGAAAACTGCTGGCAGTTTCTCATGAAGTAAGGAGATGTCAAAACCTTTTGAGTAGACCATGCACTTCCTGCCTACAGACCTTACTTAATAACGGCACAATTGTCCTCGTACTGTTTCATGTGTCTCACAAACACCCACATGAAACCCTTAGTTCACAAATCAGTAGCACTGTTACATAGAGAGAGGTGCATTAAGAAGAATACATTCACATTTGTCAAGTGCATCATCACATCTCATAGAAATGTCTCATAACACTTCACAGATAGTAATTTGCTTTGAAGTGGGCAGAGTGGTGATTGTGAAAGAATTCCAGCCAGAACAACTCGCCTTCCAGAAGGGCTAAAGTAACATTAACATCCACTCCATCAGATTGACTTGAGAGGGTCTTTGCTTAATGTCTCAACTGGATTACAATACCACTAAAGTATTGTTATATTTTTCAATGGGATGTGAGCAAGGCTGTCGTTTCCCATCTCTAATTGCTCCATGCACTGAGTGTCTTGTTCTGGCCATTTCTGAGGGCAATTAAAAGTGCTGAGAGTCTGGAGTCACACGTAAGCCTGACCAGGTGAGGATGGTAGATTTCCTTCCCTAAAGGATATTAATGAACTAGATGGGTTTTTACAACAACCGAGAACAATTTCGGTCATTATTGTGAAACTAGCTTTATGTTATATTATTAACTGAATTTGAATTCCACTAACTGCTGTGGTGGAAACTGAACCCAGTCTCCCAGAGGATTAGCCTGGGCCACTGGATTATGCCACAGTTTCCTGCTACTACATTAAAACATTTGTGGTGGTGGCAAAGTCACAGGTGTGCTAATCCATTTCAGTGTGAATGTGAACTACGTTTCAACCACATCTAGAGGACTGTGTACAGTATTGATCTCCTTAGAATATAGAAATTAGAACAGTACAGCACAGGAACAGGCTCTTAGGCCCATAATATTGTGCTACATGTTGCCAAATTAAACTAATCCCTTCTGCCTGCCTATGGTCCATATCCCTCCATTCCTTGTTTATCTAAAAGCCCTTTTAAAAGCCCCTATCGTATCTGTCTCTAGCACTATCCCTGGCAGCGTGTTGAGGCACCTACCACTGTCTGTCTAAAAAAATGTGCCCCTCACATCGCCTTTGAACTTTCCTCGCCTCACCTTAAATGCATGCCACCTAAGTATTCGACATTGTTATTATTCCTTGTTTAAGGAAAGGTGTAAATATGTTGGAAGCTGTTCAGAGAAGGCTTATTAGATATCTGGAATGATATCAGACAGATATCTGGAATGGGCATGTTCTCTGACGAGGAAAGGTTACACAGGCTAGGTTAAGAAGATAGCCTAGTGGTACTATGATTAGACTATTAATCCAGAAATTCAGGTAATGTTCTGGGACCTGCATTTGAATCCCACCATGGCAGATTCAATAAAAATTTGAAATTAGAAGTTTAAAGATGACCATGAGACTGTTGTTAATTGTTGGGGGAAATAGCCATCTGGTTCACTAATGTCCTTTAGGGAAGGAAACTGCCATCCTTACCTGGTCTGGCCTACATGTGACTCCAGACCCACAGCAATATGACTGACTCCTAGCTTCAGTTTTTTTTTCCCCCCTTTAGTCATTCACAGGATAAGGGAGTTGCTGGTCAGGCAGCATTTATTGCCCATCCCTAATTGCCCAGAGGGCAGTTAAGAGTCAACCACATTAATTCCAGATATTTACTGAATTCAAATTCCACCATCTACCACGGCAGGATTCAAACCCGGGTCCCCAGAATGTTATCTGGGTCTCTGGATTAACAGTCCAGCAATAATACCACTAGGCCATCACCTCCCTGTTAGGTACAGGGAGTAAATACTGACCTAGCCAGTGAGGCCCACACCCTGTGAATGATCTCTTTTTAAA